AATAATAATAACAATACATAACAATAACAGCAAAAGATATATGACACATAATGGCACATAAAAGCAGCAACATATATGGAGGGAAATTCCAGAGTTCATAAGAAAACTTCCAGAGCTAATGGAGGAATTTCACAAAGTTGCAGGTACATAAACAGAAATCATTTGGTTTCTTCATACTAGCGATGAAAAACCTGGAAGGTAGATTAGAGAAGCAATTCTATTTGCAATGGTGGTAAAGAGAGTAAGATGGCATATTTGGGGGATGTTGTGAAGTGTGTTCTAAATCACAGCACTACCCTACCTGCACATTTCTCACAAGCCTTGCCACATTGGAGCCCATTGTTGTCCACACTGCTGTCAATCCGTCTCATGAGTGTCTTCCTCTTTACAGGAAGGAGCCCTCTACTTTCCCAAGCAATGACGTCCTTCTCCATGGACTGGTCCTTCCTGATAACATGTCCAAAAATACGTGATACAGTCTCAAAATCCTTGCTTCTAAGAAGCATTGTGACTGTACCTTTTCCAAAATAAATTTGTTCTTCTGGTAGCTCATGGTATATTGAATATTCTTGACCAACACCACAATTCAAATTAACTAATTCTTTCTGGGTATTCTTTATTCATTGTTCAGCTTTCATATGCATATGTTACTGTTCTTGTTAGGTGCTGTTGAGTAGACACCAACTCACAAACTCCATGTACAACAGATCAAAACCTACCAACCCTGCTCCATCATCACAATCTCCACCTTCTGTTGCAGTTGGTGTGTCACCTATATCACTGAATGTCACCCCGTTTCATTGAAGATCTTTCTCTACTTTCCCAAGCATGATACCCTCTTCTAAGGACTGGCCTCTCCTAATAAGATGCCCAAAATATGTGAGACAAAGTCTTGCTGTCCTTGTCTCTAGAGAACACCCTGGCTCCACTTCGTCAAGACAGACGCGTTTATTCTCTTGACAATCCATGGTCTATTCAATACGCTTTGCTAACCTGCTTATGAGGGAACTCTGGCACCTTAATGATAAGGAATTGTGCTGCCAGCCCAAAGGCAAGTGGTTCAAGTTCACCTACTGCTCCATGGGGTAAAGATGGGTAATCTCCTCCCATGTGATTAACTACCTCTGAAAACCTACTGAAAGGACAGTTATGGGATTGTTCTGATTTGATGGTACACAACAACAACCTGCATGTTGTTGTTGTTAGGTGCCATCAAGCTGAGTACAACTCATAGTGACCAATGAACAAAAGATCTGAACCTGTTCTATCCTTCACCATCCTCACACTTCCTTCTTGGCACACAAGATCCCATTGCAGCAGTCACCATGTCAATTCACCTGGTTGAGGGTCTTCCCTCCTTCGCCGACCCTCCATCCTTCCCAGTACCATGTCCTTCTCCAAGGAACAGCACCTCCTAGGAACATGCCCAAAGTATGTGTCTGAAAACATATAGCTTGAGTCAAGTGCACCTTAGTCCTCAAAGTGACATGTTCACCTTTTGATACTTTAAAGAAGTCTTTTGTAGCAGATTAGCCCAGTGCATTTTCTCTCTTGACTGCTACTTCATCAGTGTTGACAGTAGATCCAAGAACAACGAATTCCTTGACAATTTCAATATTTTCCTCCATTTATCATGATATTGCTTACTGATCCAGTTATGGGGACTTTTGTTTTCTTTACGTTGAAGTGTAATCCATACTGAAGGCTGTAGTCTTTGATCTTCGTCAATAAATGCTTCAAGTCCTCTTCCCTTTAGCAATCAAGGTTGTGTCATCTGCATAATGATGGTTGTTAATGACTCTTCTTTTGATCCTGATGTGTTCTTCAAATAGTCCAGCTTCTCAGATTATCTTCTAAGCATACAGAAGGATAAGAATGACAAAAAGATACAGCCCTGATAGGCACCCTCTCTGATTTTAAACCACACAGTATCTCCTTGTTTTGCTTGAATGACTGCTTCTTAGTCTACTTATAGCTTTCCATGAAACGAGTGTTCTGGAATTACAGTTCTTTACAATGTTATTCTCATTTTATTGTGATCCACCCAGTCAAATAGTAATAACTAGGAATAAATCTTACCAGGGACACGAAGGACTTACACAATGAAAACAAAAACACTCCTCACTATGTGTCATTATTTCATTGTGGCACTATTCACAAGAGCAAAAAAAGATGTAAACAACCTATCTGTGCCTCAATAAACAAAACATGGGTTTTTGCTGAAAGCAAAGATTAACAGAAGAATGTCTATTTGTGTTTCATTGACTATGCTTTGGCTTTGACTAAGGGATCATAATAGACTATGACTAACATTGAGAAGAATGGGAATTCCAGAATATTTAATCATGCTCATATGAAAACTACACCTGGCTGCTATTGTGTTAACAGAGCAAAGGAAGAATGCATACTTTAAAATCAAGGAAGGTGCCTATCAGGGCTATATTCTTTCCCCATACCTATTCAATATACAATGAACAAATCATTTGAGAAGCTAGACTCTATTAAGAAAAAACATGACAACAGGATAGGAGGACGACTCATCAACAACTTGTTTTATGTGCTGAAGGTTGTGAGGAGGACATTAAGCGTTTACTACAGAAGATCAAAGACTACAGCCTTGGGGGAGAGAGGGGAAAAACCACAGCCTTCAATACGGATTACATCTCAACGTCAAGAAGACAAAAATTCCTCACCATTGGGTCTATAGGTAACATCACAATAAGTGAAGAAAAGCTTGAAATTGTCAACAACTTCATCTTCCTTGGATCCACAATCAACACACTTGGCACCAGCAGTGAAGAAATCAAAAGACTGTATTGGAGGGAGCTCTGGTGGCCTTGTGGCACGAAGCTGCGCTGCAATACCAAAGGCATATGGTTCGAATCCACCTGAAGCTCCTCTGCTGAAGAAGGAGAGGCAATCTCTTCCTGTGCCTGTCAGATCCAATTCAACGGCACACAATGGCACAGAACAACAATACTAATAAACCAATTTTTTTTTAAAAAAACCCAAACACTGTATTGGGAAAGTCAGCTGTCAGGGACCTCTCCAAACTTCTGAGAAGCAATGATGTCAGTCTGAAGACTAAAATGTACTATGATCTTTTCAATCACTTGCTATGCATCTGAGAGTTTGCACAATGAACACGAATGTTAGAATAAAAAATCAATGCCTTTGAGTTGTGTTGGAGAAGAGTACTGTCAAAAGAACAAAGAGTTATGTCTTGGAGAAGGTGCAGCCAGAGTGCTCCTTAGAGTCAAGGTTGGTGAAGCTTTGGTCATGTTGCTGAAAGGGGCAATTCCTTGGAAAGGGACATCATTCTTAGAAAGGTGGAGGGTCAGCAAAGGAGATGAATGAAGATCCTCAATCAGATGGACTGACATAGTGACAGCAGCAATGGGCTCAAGTGTATCAGCCATTATGATGGCGCAGGATGGGATCGGGTTCAGTTCTGTTGTTCATGGGGCGCTGTCGATCGCACAAGACTGGGAGACACCTAACAACAACAAATAGGAATGGACTGGAAGGCAGGTTTCCGGTTTATCCCTCACTCACTGAGAGTTAGTTGGTTCTGAGTCATAGCGACCCTTCACCCAGTTTTCGAGGATGTAAATCCCAACAAAGTCTGTCTGGTGGATTCAAACCTTCAGAGATGCACAGCCTTTGGGTTAGCAGCTCAACTAGCGAGACAGTAGAGCTCCCTTCCTGGTTTATAGTTACACCAATTTTTTTTTTTTAACAACTATTTTAATTGTCCTTCTTTTTATCTCTCATAAATCTTCCGGGTGGGTTGTTTCAACCTTTCTAAGAGCCCAGGTAACTGGAGAAACTGAGGCAGAGAGCTAGGCTCCAGGCGCGGCTCGGGAAGCTCCAGTCCCGCGGGCCTCCAGCGACCAGCGCCGGGGCCGTTAAAGCGGTTTCCCCGGGGCTGAGCCACCACCCGGAGGCTAGGGAGGGCGGACGAGAAGCCTGGCGGACGAGGCGGGCCCGGGAACCCAGGGCCGAGGGGGCGGGCCCGAAGCCTCGGCCTCGCCTCCTCCCGCGCCGCGCCCGCCAGTTCCCGGCCGCCCGGGGCGGCCCTGCGCCAGCCGGAGCCTTGGCGGCCGAGCTCCGCCACGATGCTGCAAAAACGTGAGAAGGTACTGCTCCTGAGGACTTTCCATGGCCGGACGCTGCGCATCGTGCGGGAGCATTACCTGCGGCCCAACGTGCCCTGCAACAGCCTGCTGTGCCCGCAGCCCGACGCCTGCAGCAACGGTGAAGGCCCGGGAGGGAGCGCGGGCCCGGGCGGGAGCGAGGGCTGCCGCCGCCAGGGTGGGGCGGCCCCTGGGAGGCGGGAGAGCGCGGCTGGGAGGCGGAGCGCGAGGCTGTGGTGGCGCCTAGGCCCGGGGCCCAGGCCTCCGCCCGTCCCGAGACCTCAGCAATCCGACGGAGATTTGGGGGAAGTGTGGTGCTGAGAGGCTGGGGGGTTCGACCCTGCAAGGACGGCCCTGGTGGTCTGCTGCTTCCAGGGCTCTCGGCACGGGACTCTCTGCCGGTGCCTCCGAGGGGGCGAGGCATGGTGATTTGGGTTTGAGAGGTCTGTGGACGGAGGAACTGTTTCTTCCATTCTCTCAGGATCGTAGAAGGAGCGGCTTGAAGCGATGAGATAGGCAGGGAACAGCCCTTTGGGGATAGATGACCTGCCATCTCTTGGCGTGGAGAGCTTTGCTCCGCTTAAGTTTCCTGCTCTTGCCAGCACTGACTTCAGACATCTTAGTAACGTGCTTTCTTCCCTGTTGTGTGTGATTAGCTGACTCCCACAGCGGCCCCTATAGGACAGGGTCGAAAGGCCCAGTAAGGTTTAGTAGGTTAAGTAGTACTGTAATCTTGGAGCTCTGGTGGCGGTGGTTTGTTTGCCTTAGAGTTAGAGTCAGTTAATAGCTGATTCTCCAGATGGTTGTCAGAGGCAATAGACGGGATTGCCCATCCTTCCCAGAGCAGCTGGTAGAGTCGAACTGCTGCCTTTGGGATTGCAGCGCAGCTTCTTACCCCTTGACCGCCAGAGCTGCACTTTTGGAGTTGAGTTACCATAGCTTCAGAAACCCAATTGAAGATCAGCTGTGAGTCAGTTCCGACTGCATGGGCGGCGAGTTTGAGCTTTTTGAGGATCTTTACAGAAGCAGTTTTGCCATATCTTTTTTTCTGCGGGGCATCTGGTGGGTTCAAACAAACGACCTTTCGATTAGCAGCTGTGACTTTAGGCACCACATCTCTAAGAACCCTTAACTGCTTGAAGGTGGAGGGTAGGCGAAAGAAAGGAAGGCTCTCAACCTGATAGACTGACACAGTGACTGCAGTGATAGGCTCACGTATGTCAGATGATGAGTAAGTATGGTACAGGATAAGACAGGGTCTCAATGAGTCGTAATCATTTAACAGTAATAACTCATTGAACAGGAAGGTCTTGGGGAAAGTGTGATTCGGAATTTATAGCAGATCTTCCCGTACAGTTTTCTAGGCTGCTTGGGTGGTACACAACGGTTAAGCGCTGGATTATTAGCCAAAAGTTTAGTGGTGCTAACTCATCTCCAAAGATAGATTGGTGTTCTGCTTTGAAAGGTCATGCCTTGAAAATCTTATGAACACACTTGGAAACCGGTGAGTCAGAATCAGCTACAGACAACCAACACAGGATTATGAATTTAATGAAGATACTCTTTTTTCCTCTGGTGGATGTTAAGTTTGGTCTTCACTTTCAGCAGACACTTGGTTGGAATTCAAAGAGCTTTGTGTTAAAAGTTAACATTTCAGTTTCAGATTGGCTAACCAGCTGTCTTGGGCATAGGCTGGGTGGAAATCTGTGCTCCTCCCTGGCGGCCAACGAGCATCTTTTAAAATCAGTTCGGTTTTTCTGGCCTTTGGAAACTTATATGTATATACAGAAACTTGAAGTAAAACTGACTTGAAACTGCTGGACATAATCAAAAGGTTGATGTAAATATATTTCGGGATGCCCTACAATGAATTAACGCAGAAATTCAGGTTGTATTAAGACTTTGCTCATTTGTGTAAAAAAAAAAACCCCACTTTCTCACAGTTTCACAAACACGATAAACTAGACGACTTATAACAACTGAACTTTGAACTTCTACCACTGTAGATTTGTCTTGAATTTTAAAATCTTCATGGTATGCTTAAGGTGAGAAGTTGGTCTGCATGTTGGGCATAGTGAAACAGAAACAAATAAGATTTGAAAATATTTTTAAAATTTTTTTAAAAATTAATTTTAATGAAAGTTTCAAGAGATTTAGGGTTTCCAGTCATTCACTGTTGCACTTTCTCCCTACCCACCCACTCCTCCCCAATTCACTCTTCTCCTTGAAAAGAAAGGAAAAACTCTTTAATTGTTATGCAATCCCACCCCCAAGTCCACTCCACTATGTAGCCTTCACTCTGGACTTCTGTAATGACAAGCATACCCATTCATATAGCCCTTTTAAACAGTTCTCTCCCTCATCTGTTTCAATACAATATACATAATTCCTCCCCTCCTTTTCTGTCTCCCCTCAACCCTGATGTCAGTCCCGTTTTACAGCAGTGGTTCTATGCAATATTTGTCTTTTGTGACTGAGATACTTCACTCAGCATAATGTCCTCCAGGGTCATCTATTTGCATTATATTTCATAAGTTCCTTGTTTTTCAATGCTACATAGTGTACATTGTGTGAATATACCAGAGCTTCTCTATCCATTCATTTGTTGATGGGCACTTGGGTTGTTTCAAAAATTTTTTTAAATAAAATTTTATTTTAGCTGTTATTCCAAAATAATTTTTAAATCTCTTAACTTTCTAATTACATTTCAGATGGGAAACTATTGTCTGGCGATGTAACTCATTACGTGATCCCTGATTGGAAAGTTGTCCAAGATTACCTTGAGATCCTTGAGTTTCCTGAGTTGAAGGGAATTATTTTCATGCAAACAGCTTGTCAGGCTGTGCAGCATCAAAGGGGCCGGAGGTATCTATCTATTTTGCATTATTTATTTATAGTATAAACCCTGCCCCCTCCAATATCCCACCCCCTGCTTAGAAAAAAATTCTTCCTTAGAGGATGAGGGAAGGAATTCATTATTTTGTCAGAAAAGGCTTTTTTTAAACTAATTTGATATTCTCTCTGCTAGTGAGAATTGCAATAACATTGTTTTATGTTTCTGCTCCAACACCTGGCCAGTAGATCTGACAATAGATCAATAAACTGCAGTGTCCCCAGTATGTGGGTATTTAAGATTCTAGGCTGAACTGGGCTTTTGGTTTGCATTTTTATATTAGCAAGGTTATTGCTTATTTCTTTACGGCTTGTTTAATTTTTGGTTTATTTAATCATGTTGGTGACATAAAAATATTTTGTTTCAGAAACTTATAAGTTTTAGACTCTTTTGTGAATGTAAATTGTACTTATGGTTAATTGTGTTTGCCAAACAAAGAATTTCTGCTTGAAACCCGTCTAAAATTCTTGCCTTGTACCTAAATGGAGAAAAATTGTCCACCTTTTAAGCAGATACTCTAAAAAAATTCTTTTTCTTAATTTAACATTGAGAGAAGAAAGGATTATTAGTTGAAGTTGGAGACTATATGGAAATAGCATGAACACTGTCAAAAGTCAGTCATTGTCATCTTATCAAGTTGAAACAGACCTACAGTTGACCCTCCAGCAGGATTTATAGAGGCTGGAAACCACAGAGGAGGATTACCCATCATTCTCCCAAGGAGTCACTGATAGATTTGAACCATCAGAGGGCTACAGCCTTTGGCTAAGCTGTGCCTTGTGACTATACCACCAGAGTTCTCTTCTCAACCCTGAAGTCATTGAAAAAGCAGAAACGATGTGTTTATTCTGTTTTTAAATGCCATGTCTTCTTTAAACCTTGGTAGTAAAAGACGAAGTGTTTTTATTTGTATATGAAAATGATAAATTCTCCTTTTTGTATGCTCAGTTCAAAAAAGTGTACATCAAGTAGATTGTGTGCAGGTTTTTCAGACAGAATATTTTAAAATGAGCTTGAAGTTGATTTTGCTCAGACACAAAGATATAGATGTTTATACACATTCAAGTTTAAATGCTGCTCTATGTGTCGTATTTCAATTTCTGGTACTAAAATCAATTTGTTGTTATCATTCAGAGTGCTAACACACTGCCAAGCCTTTTCAACTTCTGTTTTCTAAAATATTTTTAATATTAAGGATTGATTTAAAAACCAATTCCAGGCCATTCAAAGGCAAAGAGTTGGAGTTTAAATATGTTTTCTCCTGAACAATTCAAAAGCAGTTAACTTGATGGAAATCTACTGGTTTTCCACTGTTTCGTGGTGTTGCTGAATATTCTAAATGTGAAAACAAAAGATGAGAAGTTCTGAATTATGATAACACTTGTGTTCTCCATTTGGTAAGCACTATTTGAGCTTGAGGAATACAAAAGATGTCTTAGTCCCTCTCTCAATAAGCCTGTTATCTTGTTTGGGTTCAATGAGGGAAGCAGGAAGGTAATTATGAAATGCTTTAGACAGATAAGGGATAAATAAATGATATGAACTATGTAAAGTTCAGAAGTATAAGTGTGAATGTTAAACCAGAAAGCCCTCTCAGAGGAAATAGGTGTGAATCTGGCCTTAAAGGGGGTACAATGAACATGACTGATAAAGGAGAAGAGGAGGAGGAGACAGAACAGGAATTAACAAGTTTGAGGCTTGGCACTTTTTCTGTTCCGTTAGCAGGTACATTCAGATTGGCTCAGCTAAAGAACAGGATTGGAGGGAGACTCATCAATAACCTGCATTATGCAGATGACACAACCTTGCTTGCCCAAAGTGAGGAGGGCTTGAAGCACTTGTTGCAAAAGATCAAGGAATGCAGCCTTCAGTATGGACTGTATCTCAATGTCAAGAAAACATTCTTACCACTAGACCGATAGGCAGCATCATGATGGATGGAGAGGAAATAGAAACTGTCAGTAGCTTCATCTTGCTTGGATTCACAATTAACACCCTTGGTACCAGCAGTCAAGAAATTGGGAGACACATTACACTGAGAAAATCTGCAGTTAAGGACCTCTCCAAATTTTGAAGAGTGATGATGTCAGTGTGAGGACTATGGTGCATCTTATTCAGGCCATAGTCTTTCTGTTCACTTGCTATGCATCTGAGAGCTGGAAAATGAATAACGATGATAAAAAAACAATTGACACTTTTGAGCTGTGGTATTGGAGAAGAGTACTGAACATCCCATGGACAGCCAAGAGAACAAACAGATATGTCTAGATAGGGTGCAGCCAGAGTGCTTTTTAGAAGCAAGAATGATGAGACTTTGCCTTGCATACTCTGGGAATATTGCTAGGAGGGACTGTTCCTTGGAGAGGGACTTGATGCTGGAAAGGGTAGAGGGCTGACAAAAGAGAGGAAGACCCTCAGCCAGGTGGATTGATGCGGTTACTACCTCAATGGGCTTTTGTGTGTCAGGAAGTGTGAGGATGGTACAGGATAGAACAGGGTTCAGATCTTTTGTTCATAAGGTCACTATGAGGCACACTGAACTCGATGGCACCTGACTACAACAAAAGCAACAAAAGGACCAACATTTCCTAAACCCTGGAAAGTGTCATAACTTGAAAGTTAACTTTCATGTTGATGTTGTTGTTAGATGTCATCGAGTCACTTGTAACTCAAAGTGAGCCTACGTACAACAGCCCAGAACTCGACCCTATCTTGAGCCAACCTCATTATCTCTGACACACCTACTCCTGTTACCCCAGGCACTTAGTCAATCCATCTCATCCAGGGTCTTCCACTCTTGTGCTGTCACTCTACACTTCCAAGCATGATGTCTCTTTCCAAGGACTGGTCCCTCCTTGCAACATGTCCAAAGTATGTCAGACGAAGCTTCAGAATCCTTGCCTCCAAGGAGCAGCATGGTTTTGCCCTCTTCGGTGCAAACCTTTTTATTCTCTTAGCAGACCATGGTATATTCAGTACTCGTCTCCAGCACCATAGCTCAAAGGCATTAATTCTCTTTCTATCATCCCTAGTCATGGTTCAGCTTTCAGATGCATACCAAGTAATTGCAAAGACCATGGCCTGGATCAGACACACCTTAGTCTCTAGACTGATATCATTGCTCCTTAGTACTTTAGAGAGGTCCCTGACAGTAGATTTTCCCAATGTAGTTCGTCTTTTGATTTCCTAGCTAGAGGTTCTAAGAATGTCAATTGTTGAGCCAAGCAAGTTGAGGCTGTTAGTCATTGAATATGTAAAGTCTAGGAGATTTGCTTTATTTATCTGATCTTCACATATATGAATTACTGAGAGTGGAAATTGGATGACCCAAAGAAGCTCTGGTGGCACAGTGGTCAAGTTTTGGCTGCTAACTAACAGGGCAGCGTTGTGAACCCACCAGCCACTCTGGAGGAGAAAGATGTGGCCAACCAGTTCTGAGTTCTGTCAAGACTGCAGCTTTGGGGACCCGCCCTGGGCGGCAACTCTACCCTGTCCAACAGTGTCTCTTTGCGTTGGGACCAGCTTGATGGCAGTGGGTCTGATATTTTTTATTTTGGTTTGGATGAGCAAGGAAAAAAACAAAAACAAAACAAACCACCATTATCCATAAGTGAGTTATAACCAATCTGGTCTCATGTCTGGCATAAAGATGCTTTGCTTTCTCCTTTAGACTTCTTCTGAATCTCTAATAGAGTCTCATCATTTCCTGCATTAGCTTCTCAGGACATAAATAAGATTAGAATTATAGAATTTTGTATGGAACAGATCTAAGAGATCACATGACCTAAATCTCTGTGTAGCACATCAGTATATTGACTTTGGTTTTAAAAAGATTCTCATGGAGTGTTAAGTTATCATTATTCTAATGTTTGATAAATGTGTTTTAAACATAGAGGCTCATGCTTAAGGACTTAATGCACTTTTAAAACCAAGTCAGCCCTTCAAGTTACAAAATCGGAAATTGACACATGAACATGAATAACTGGGACAGACAGTGCTTTCCTTAACCAAAATCACCAGAGTTGGTTTGTTGTTGTTGTTGTTGTGTACCATCAAGTTGGAATGTCCTATAGCTGACCTTCCAGTGGATTTTCAGAGGCAGTTAATTGCATGGGAGTTGGTTTAGCAACAGAAAGTGTTTGCTTCCAAAACCAAATAGAAAAGTGTTTAAGATGGTTTTTTTAAAATTTTTATTTCAATATAAATGTAGTGAAATACCTGTTCTTATGTTAGCCCAAAGAGTTAATCAAGTCCTTGATTGTTCAGAATAATCACAGAGGTTGCCATCTAACAAACCTCAAATGTTTATTGAATGAGAGGTCACTTTCTAACTAAGACTACCATGTCCACTGCCTTCATTCATGTACTCCAGTATTCAGTTAGTTATTCAACAGGTATTTATGGAGTGAGTACATGTGCCTGGGACAGTGCTGGCACTGAGGATACTGTGGTAAACAAAAGGAAACTCACTATAATGGGTCAGGGGCCAGGGGAGGGGGACAGGCAGTAACCAGATAGTCGTGCGCACATATGTGGAACTGAAACCGTGGCAAATGCACTGAAGGAAAGGAACGAGATGCCAGGAGAACCCATACCTCTCGGGGAGAAGGGAAAGGCTTCTCCTGAGAAGGATGCCTTTGCTGAGCTTCAAAGGATGAGTAGAAGCAAAGCGGACAGAGAAAGGGAAAACATTTTCCAGGCAGAGGAAATGGCCTGTGCAAGACCCTGTGGGCATCGTAGCACTCTCAAGTCACTAAAAGGAGGACCCTACATTGAACAGAAGGCCGCCTGGACTTCAGAGGTGTCAGTGAAAAGAGGAGGTGACATTTCTATTTTGAAAGAATTAACTGCATTACATGGAAAATAGAAGGTAGAAGTTTATCACTTTAGTCTAGATGTGAAATGGCAAGAAGTAGACATTTTCAAGAAGTATTTGGTGGCTAAGATCTGAAGAACTTCTTAGGCGTCAACCCAAGAGAATGAAAATCCTGTCCATTTAAGAATTTGTACATGGGTGTTCACAGCAGCGCTATTAATTCTCAATAACCAAGAGGTTTGGGCATTCTGTTGGCCTATGATACACTTTATTTAAAAAAAAATTATGAGTGCCATCTAATAAGAATAGAAAAAGAAAACTTTTTAAAATTCTGGTGTAGGGGAAGGGCTGGGCGGGGAGAGAAGTGAATGAATGGAAATCCAAAATCTCTGTAAATGCTCATTAAAATTATTTTTTAAAAAAATAAAGCTTAAAGCTTAAAAATTAAAAAAAGAAGAAGAAAAAAATTCTGGTTTAATACTCAGGAACCTCTGAGGATAAGTCTGCAGACCCCACCAGGGCCCTTCAGAATCCAGCTAAAGAAACAGCATTTGATCTGGAAATCACTTCTATCTGTGTACGGCAGCCCACTGGTTGGTTGCAGGGCATCCCCTCTTATCCCTAGAGAGTATGTTAGCAGGGGGACGGGTGTTGCATCTATAGATAAAAATATCTGGAAAATATATTAAAAATTCCATTTGGAAAAAAGAAATTTGGCTTTCTCAAAAAGATTTCCCCCTAAGGAATTATTTAACAATGCCTGAATGATGGAGATTTGGAAAACACCTAAGCCAGTAAAGGGAAATTAGGGTAAACCTGGAATGTATGGTACTTGATAATCTACCACCAGCATTCTCCTCTTATGCAGGTCAAATTACCCAGCGCACCATGATGCACCTTGCTGATCCCATGCAGGATATCCACATTTTTAATTCCATCTTATGCACTACAAACCATCACTCATAAAAAATATGACTATATTGCATGTATGCTCTGTTAAATTATAACCACAAACCCACACGTCTCCAAGAAAGCCCAACTGTCACGCTCAGAGTTTGTTTTCTGCTTACCCCATTAATATTCTTGGGCCATTTGCTCATTTATCTTATCTGGCTGATAGGTAGCTGACAAATGGAGGCACACGTTAACAATCTAAGGAAAATCTATGAGAGTGAAACTTAAAATTGAGAAGGCCTTTCTTAAGTGATTTTTTTTTTTCTCCTTAACAACTGGAAAGGATTGTCATTACTCTAATTTGATGGTCAATGCCCAGGACTGGTGCTTTTAACTTTGCCTTAGCCTTGTTTGAACCATTTTCTGATGGAGAACCTGAAAACATTGTTAGACATAGCAGGTGAAGCTGATCTTCACTTGTGACAGCGTGGTGGCCACATGAAGAAAGTTCACAGATAAACCTCCAAATGTATTGACCTTGCAGGTCCTTTCCTAGGGCTGTAAAAAAGTGAAATTTGCTGATGCCATTTCTGGAACAAAGTGGAGTACAAAAAACCTAACCTCTCTGCTTGCGTCTGTTTAATTAGTGTTTGAGAAGGGTGTGTGGTGGGGTGGGATAATCAAATTAAAAAGTGGCCAGAAGGGTAAAGAGGAGAAACGGGTTTGATTGATCCACCAGCTAATTAATGAGGACAAGCCAAAGAACAGACTAAATTGAGACACAGCAAACTAAGAGCCATAAGAAGGAGACTGGGTGCACTGAGGCCCAGCCTACTGTTTATGACAACAAATATTTCTCAGGTTTTCGAGAATCAATCTTTTTCTTGAAAATTCCTCTTCTTTTTTCTTTGAGTCTTAGTAAGATATAAGTACCTGCTCTGTTAGATTTATCTTCCTCCTTTGTGTCACAGACAGTATAACAAATTGCGAAACCTTCTGAAGGATGCGCGCCATGATTGCATTCTCTTCGCTAACGAATTTCAGCAGTCCTGTTATCTTCCGCGGGAAAGAGGGGAATCCATGGACAAGTGGCAGACCAGGTATGGTGCTGAATCGCTGTGAGCTTCCCCATAGTTGTTGTCTCAGGCACTGGACTATTACCTCCTTAGTTAACTCCACGCGGTGGGCCCAGGGGTGGGATGAGCTGTCCACTACAGACAGCTAAAGTCACAGGCAGGCCGTGGACTTTAGACCGAGCTTCTATACACCAGTGGTGTCTGATAATCTTCTGAGAGGACAAAAGCTTTAAAACGCCATATCCAAAAACACCCCAGTCACATCATTTTCTTTTCCATTGTAATTCTTTATCTATAGTAGTCATTAAATATTTCAGTTCTCTGAGGGAAAATAAGCACTGATCTACCCCTGAGCCCTTAGCTGTGGTCTCCAGCTTTCCACAGAGCACGGTAGCAGAGAGGGAAAATCAGCTTTCTCCAAATAGGGTCCCCCTGTGAGTACACGGAGTGATCACTCTAAGTACTCACAGTGAGTACCCAGTAAAAGCTGGCTGCATTAAAACACAGAACTAGAAGAGACCATGCTTAACTTGCAGAAAAGGAAACAGATGCCTGCAGAAATTGACCTGCCCACATTTATACAGTTCCAGGAAAACAATCTCGTCTTGCACATAGGGCTCCAGACCTACACTCTACTTTCTAGTTTATTTTTTAAAAAAATTTAGACTTTCTTTGAATCATAAGCTTCAGGTGCTTCTTGTTGTTGTTATTGTGTGCCATCAAGTCTCTTGTGACTCATAGTGACCCTAAATACAACAGCTCTGAAGCCTGCTCCGCCTTGAGCCAATTTCACTGTCTCTGACACACCTACCCCTATAACCCCAGTCCCGAATCAGTCCAAATCATCGAGGGTCTTCTTCTCAGGTGCTTGTAGCCTAGTTTTTCTCTCAGCCAAACACTTCTCTTTTTCAGCATTATGTGACTTAGCTGTCATCCCTATGGCGTTGTATGGCTCAGCCCCCTCCAATTACAGGACCCTAAAAGATGGCAGAGCCTTGTGGCTTCTAGGCCACATGAAGAAATAATAGTAGTTGGTGGGCAGATCGGAAAGAAGTGTTAGCAAACACTTTCTGACTTACCTTTGTATCCTCCAAGGACTCAGGCCAGAGTGTATTTATAAGGGTTGCTCAGGAAGTCATTGGTTAGATGAATGACTGCTTCTCGATAGAGACCACAAGTTAGTGGACTAAAAGGTGGGTGTGAAATTCTCACCTCCTTAGGTGGGCTCACATGTCCTTTGCTTTTCTAGGAGCATATACAATGCAGCCGTTTGGTACTACCACCACTGCCAGGATAGGATGCCCATTGTTATGGTGACAGAAGATGAAGAGGCAATTCACCTGTATGGAAGTGAGACAGAAGGAGTGTTTGTGATTTCGTTCAAGGTATTAACAAATGTTGCATGTGTAAGATTGAGTGCGCGTGTGTGTCCATGTCCTCAGGAATTCACGTAAGGCTCCAGACTCCTAGGCAAAAACCAGAAAAAGAAGATAAAAAATGTAGAACATTGAGAAATGCTATTTCTTTTCTAACTCTAAGATTTCCTTTTTTTTTTCATTCTCACAGAACCAATTTTTTTGTAGCCAGGCCAGAGACCACCCTGTGATCTGATTATCATTTGATCTCAGTAAAAGAGAAGAGGTCAGGGTTCAATCAATAATGTTAAGTTTGGCCGGTAGTTGATCTTCTCTTCTTCTCATTCCTTTTAAACCTCATTGTAACTGTCCTACTTTAATCTATTTGCTTTTTTATTTTTTTAAATAAGCATGGTCTTCCTATATGCATAAAGAGTAACTGCTCAGAATAAGCCTTATGCTTCAATTAAAAAAAAAGTTCTGTCTTCATTTCCCTCCAGCTAATTAATTAGCAAATTAGCTTTAGCAAATTTCAGATAGGATCTTTGTGATTACAAGGTGCACCACATCCGAGATCCCTACAAGCCCCTGCTGACTGTAAACTCATGTTAATTATTCATAATAGCAGTACTAGTAATAATGATAATAGGTTGAATCAGATGCAATTGCCAATTTTCTCTTGCCTTTGACCTACAGAATGACAGGTTTTTTAATGATTCCATCTAAAAGTGCTACTTAGGTGGTTTAGGTATGTGCTGCCAACCCAAAGACAGGAGGTTCAAACCCACCAGGTGCTCTGCAGGAGGGAGGTGGGCAGTCTCCTCCCATACAGATTTCTGCCTCTGAAAACCCACTAGAGGATCAGCCACAATTGTGTTCCAACTTGATAGGACCGACCCAACAGCAGAAAAGCCCCTTTCAGGCATACCTCAGAGATGCTGCAGATATGCCTCCAGACCACCACAATAAAACAAGGACCACACTAAAGTGAATCATAAATGTTTCGGTTTCTTTGGTAGCCTAGTGGCAAGAAGCTGCACTACAATCCCGAAGGCACGCAAGTTTGAGTCCACCAGCTGCTCTGGGGGAGGGTGATGGGAAAGCTCCTCGTATGCAATTAACTGCCTCTGAAAACCTGCTGGAGGGTCAGTTATGGGTTGGTTCCAGTTCAGTGGTAAATAACAACAGTGCATATAAAAGTTCTATCTGCATTGTCTATTAGATGTGTAATCACATCAAAAACACTTTGTTGTCAAGTCAGAACCAACCCATAGCTGCCCTTCCAGCAGTTTTCTGAAGCTATAAATTGCATGGGAGGAGAGTGCTCTTTTTCCCCTCAAGGAGCCGCTGGGGGGTTTGAACCACCAGAGTGGCGCTGCCTTTGGGCTAGCAGTACAACGCTCTACAGACTGCACCACCAGCGCTCCCTACATGTGCGATAGCTTTCTGAAGAAGTACGAAATACTGTGAGAATCACAGGAATGTGACACTGAGACACAAAGTAAGCACATGCTGTTGGAACAATGACCTGTTTGACTTAGGGTTTCAACAAACCATTGATTCATAAAAAATACAATGTTTGTGAAGAGCATTAAAGCAAAGCTCGCTAGAACGGGGTGTACCTTCATCTTAAATGATTACTTTATGCCAGACACTGTTTGAAAAAATCTTCCATTTACTATTTCATCACCGAGTCGACGGCACCTAATGACAACAATGATGAGGTAGTTTTTTATCTCCTTTTTTTTAAAAAATAAAGAAACTGGAGCACAGAAAAACTAAGCAACTTGCTTAAGGTCATACAGCTGTACATTGGAAGAGCTGAAGAAGCCAGGCTGCCTGGCCACAAAGCTGTGACCCTTCCCGTGCTCCACAGCCTTCCACATTAGTTTTCTGAACACATAACCTCCACCAAAATTTTTTTTAAAGTCTCATTTGTAAGAATAGAGGAGCTAATAGAGGTCAGTGAAGGGTATGGGATGTGCTGTTATTTATGTGAAGCTGTTGGATCAGCTTGGTGTACAGATCACGGACAGAGGTGACATTATCAGTGACAGCTTCTTTAGCTTCTCTTGGCATTACAGCTCTTCCCATCTCTTGGTTATCATCGGGGAGAACAGGACAGCTGTTTATCTCTCAACAGGTTCCTTGTCTCTGCTGTCTGCCCAGTGGGTCAGGCAAGTTCCATTGGTTGATTCCCCCCCACCCCTTTTTGATGCAGAAACTAGAATGAAGGCCTCCATTACCCCTGTCAGTTTTTAGAAAGCCTAGTTGGATTTTGAATTGTAGATTCTCTAAGAGTTCCCAGGTGCATGTATTGCTAAAGATTTGCCAATAGAATTTTCTTGGCCCTGCTATAAAAAAGTGCTCCGGCATGCCAGAGAATTCCAGGGGCGCTGGATATTAATGGCAGTGTCACTTGTTTTTTCTGTGGCAATACATCATGTCTTGTTCCTACAGAGGACAGTTGACTAAAATTACATTTTTCTACTTTCTGTGAAAATTACTTTTCTTTGTAGTCTAGTAGTGTGGTACAGTTTTATTTTTGTACCGCATTTCCCAAGCAAACTGTGTGACCAAGGGCTTCATGGAGGTGAATGATTGCAGGAAGAAAGGGAAAAGAGAGATGTCACGAGTTCAGCTGAAAGGGGAGCCCAGAATTTTCTGTGGGAACCTGAAATTATATGGAGGAGAGTAAAGACAGTGGATCTGCCTTGAAGAAGTGGTTCAGAATGATAGTATCTGGATGTTTATTAGTGGGTTACTGACTTTAGTGCAAACAGAAATTCTGGAAAGACTAGGAAAGGAAAATAAGGTAACATTCTAGAATATTCTAGAATCTACCTTAGACTTAAAATTGACTTAGAAATCACATATAAAGTTTTGTCACATTCACTGAGAATCAATCATTTGAAGGAATGTTTCTCTGTACATGGGAGGAGTTGTGTTGTGCTGTTTTTAGGTGCCATTGAGTCAAGCACAACTCATAGAGACCCTATGAACAACAGATCTGAACCCTGTCCTATCCTGTGCCATCTCACAATTTCTGACAACTCGAGCCCATCGCTGCTGTCACTGTGTCAGTCCACCTGGGTGAGGGTCTCTCTCCTTCACTATTCCTCCAGCTTTCCAAGCATAATGTCCCTCTCCAAGAAATAGCCTCTCCTGGCGACATGTGCAAAGTGTGTGAGACAAGGCTGTGTCATATTTGCCTCCATGGAGCACTCTGGCTGTACTTTCCCGAGAGGTAGAAGGTCTAAATTGCAACTGTCTATTTTTGCCAATGCCACCGTACCAGCCACTTGTAGGCAGTTGCCTTGACATTTATCCAGGGCCTCTCTGAAAGACATCTAACAAGAGGTTCAGTAATATTCAATAATGTTGGAATTGGAAAAGGCCTAGCCACTTGTTTCAAAGATGCTTATTTTTTGCTTGTTTTGTTTTTAATTGGTTTTCATTCAATCACTTATATATACTTCATCTTAGAACAGTACAGTGCTATTATTTACCTTGTTTTACCAAAATCTCCCTGTACTCTCCCTATTCCTTCACTGTCTCCATCCATCTTCTTCATATTCTCTTCCACACATTTCCTTTATTACTGTGCCATTCTCTCCTTAATAACTGTCTAAATATGCTAAGGAACAAAAGTCACTCACAGGATAGCTAGAAAGAGGCTTCTGTTTAAGTCTTACCTACATTATCAGACCTTTTCTACAAAACTAAACCCCCTGCAATTGAATCAAACCCACGTCATAGTAACCCTCTGTTCTATTTTTATATTAATTTTTTTAATTGTAATTTTAACAAATAGAGAGGTTGGGTTTTCATTCATCCATTGATTCATTATTGCACATTTTCCTCCTTCCCCTTCCCCAGGCCTTTTTGTGATGCATCTCTTGTTCCAGACTTTTGACAGTCACACACACATTGCACCCAATCATACATTCCCTTCGGACAGCCCTGCCCCTCATCTCTTCCAGTGCAGTGCTCACTATCTATCCACTCTTTTCCTGTTCTCCTCCAACTCCTTATGTATGCTGTATTTTATAACAGAGGTATTATGTAGTATTTGTGCTTTTGTGACTGTGATATTTCACTCAGCATGTCTTCCAGGTTTACCCATGTTGTGTAATGTTTTACAAGTTCACTGTTTCTCAGTGCTGTGTAATATTCCATTGTGTGAACTTACCACAGTTTTTCTATCCATTTGTTTGGTGATGAGCAGTTGGGTTGCTTCCATCTCTTTCCTATTGTGAATAATGCAGCAATAAATGTGGATTTGCATACATCTGTTTTGAGTCATGGCTCTGGTTTCTGTAGGGTATATTTCCAGTAGTGGAATTGCTTGGTAAAATGATATTTCTTTTTCTACCTTTTTTAAAAAGCGCCAGACCGCTTTCCTTAGTAGCTGTACCATTTTACATTCCCACCAGCAATGATTTAAAAAAAAAATAAAATTGATTTTTCAAATAAGTCATCTATATTGTGCTTGATTCATAAACATTATGTTTTATATAATCTTTTGTTTACATTGTGTCATACAGTCATTCATTCAAAGTTGTTCCAAACCAGCCAACACACCAAGGGCAACATTGTTTCATCTGCATGTGTCACCAGTTCAAGGGATAATCATAAAGGAAGTTGCAGTCCCCTGGGAGCTTAGGGAGAGGGAAGCCCAGCCCCAGTGAGTAGGAGCACCTCTCCTGTCCCCCATCCCTCGCTGCTCACCTGACCTTGCCAGTGGGATGGGGTGAGAGACTTGCCCACACACGTCACTCTTGCCCTTTTCGCCTGCTTATTTCAATTTCTTAGAAATATTAAATGTTTCCAAATGAAAAGAAGAAGGGGGGAAAGATAAGAATGATTAGGAGCTTTTCATCCTCAATCCCTGTCGGCCTTTGAAGCTGTGAAGTAACTCGGGATGTGGCAGCATTCTTTGGGGAGACAGCCTCGTGTGGCCCACTTGGCAGGGCTCTGATGATAAATGAGCTGTAGTGTGAAACTTGGGAGGGTAATGCTCATATAACACCTCCTCAGAATAGCATGCCAGCAGTTCCTGGTGAAGAGGTTTTTTGTAATACTATGGATTGAAGCTCAATGTCAAGAAAACAAAGATTCTCACCACTGGGCTGTTTGGAAGCATTATGATAGATAGATGGTGAAGAGATTGAGATTGTTAACAGCTTTAGAGTACTTGACTCCACAGTCAATAGTCTTGGTATCAGGAGCCAGGAAATAAAAAGACAAATTGCATTGGGAAGTCTGCTGTCAGAGACCTCTCCAGAGTACTGAAGAGCAGCAATGTCAGTCTGGGGACTAAGGTGCGCCTGATACAGGCCATTGTCTTCACAATTGCTTGCTAAGAGTCAGAGAACTGTACAATGACTAGGGATAATAGAAAGAGAATTGATGCTTTTGCGCTGTGGTGCTGGAGAAGAGTGTTGAATATCCTGGAGAGGATGAAACTAGGCTACTCCTTGGAAGCAAGGATTCTGGGGCTTCGTCTGACATACTTTGGGTGTGTTGCAAGGAGGGACCAGTCCTTGGAGCGGGATATCATGCTTGGAAGGGTGGAGGGACAGAGAAAGAGAGGAAGACCATCAATGAAATGGATTGATTCAGTGACTAGGGTAATGAGGGATAGGTGTGTCAGAAATAGTAAAGTTGGCACAGGGTAGAGCAGAATTCAAGGCTATTATACATAGGGTCGCTATGAGTCACGAGCAACTCCACGGCACATAACAACAACTATAATGCCAACTTACTGTCTTCTTGTCTGTGCTTCTCTTATTCCTTTATTAAATGCAGAATTACCTGGACAATTTTTGGCCTGACTTAAAGGCTGCCCATGAGCTCTACGATTCGATTCTTCAGTCTCGACGGGAGAGAGAAAACGAAAGTCAGGAGAGTCACGGGAAGGAGTATCCAGAGCATCATCCCCTGGAAGTGTTAGAGGCTGGGATCAAATCCGGACGCTATGTCCAGGTGAGAGTGGCTGTAAAGCATCGGTGTGGGAGCCAGCCATGTGCATTCTCCTTACTCACCTCCCCCAAGCCTCCAGTGTCCGAGGCAAGATGGGCCTCATCATGACACCTGCCGGCGAGCCAGGCTGCTGTGCTTTAAGGTGATGGGGAGCCTGTCTGTGGAGAGGCTGGTTGTTCCGTTTGAGGCTGCTCTAGAAGGACACTTCTGAGTTGTGTTACCCGTTGAGCAGTGCAGAAGAGCAGGATGGAAGCAGTCTCATGAACACTTCTTGTCATGAGGAAAGAGATGTGTATTTTTAATCAAGGTCTATATTTTTTTGTAAGATTGTGAAATTTGACTTCTTCACCCCGTGGACATTTCCCCACCTCTTTCAAGGGACCCTTCAAATTCACCCCCTGCCCCAGAACCCAAAGCCCGGGTGTTGTCAGGACTGTGTGGAGGAATCTGAGGACGTTATTTCTCAGATGCCCACAATTTTATGTGCAGGGGTGTCATGCGGGTGGGTGATAGATAGTTTTGTGACCTGTGTAGATTGATGTGTAACCACTGCCACAGTCCAGATATTGAACTCCTTTATTGTGGCCTTTACATTTTTAACAAGCATCGCGGGTGATTTTTATATGCAGGCTGTTTAAGAACTACCACACTCAAGTCTCTCCCTAGAGTCTGGGTATTTTAAATGAGGATGCCTAGTGAGGCAAACTTAAAGCCTGGTAATAAAGTTTACAGCAGACCTGGGAGAATATTTTGAGGAGGACGATTTTTAAAGATCACTCATCGCTTAAGGAAGGTGAGTCATGGGTACTTTGAGCCCTTGGTGTAGGGCCAAGCCAGAGAAGTGTCAAGAGTGAGTATTTTCTCTGGAGAAAAGAAAACTTTGTGTTGAGTATTATTCCTAAAGAAAGAGGTCACCATCTTGTAAGGATATTATGGGAATATTTTCATATAAATTTTTTAACTGGACCTTTTTGCACCTTAGATGGCAGGTCCCATCTAAACTTTTTTTTTCCCCTTTGTTGTGTACCGTTGAGTCAGATCCAATTGGTACAGGAGGAAATTGTCCCTCCTCCAGCGGAGCTTCTGGTGGATTCAAACCATGCACCTTCGGGATTGCAGTGCAGCTTCTTGTCACTAGGCCACCAGAGCTCCCTTAACTGGACTTTTTTTAAGAGGTAAAACAGACTGAAAAATTGTCTTTTATTGGTTTTAGGGAATTCTGAATGTCAACAAACACAGAGCACAGATGGAAGCGTTTGTTCGGCTTCAAGGAGCCAGCACTAAAGATTCAGGTTCAGTATTAACATTCTGTCAGTTTTATTCTTCTGGTAACACATGAGCAAGACAGTGTGACATGACACACAGTCTCATGGACAATGTGTAGGTGGGATCAGGGGCTGTTGGCTTGGCTTGCTTTTGTTTTTCTTTGCTTTTTGTAATTTCTGATATTGTTGGAAATAACCTTTTGCATTATAGTAGTGTTGTCAAGTACCAATGAGTCAACTACAACTCATAGCAACCCTGTGAAGAGCTGATCTCTGAACCTTGTGCAGTGTTGCATTGAGCACTATAGATCAGGTAATTTTCTAACCACTTAACTTACATAATGCAGGCAGGCCTTATTTTAATGCACTTCACTTTTATTGTACATTGCAGATTTTACTTTTTTTTTAAATAAATTGAAGGTGTCTGGCCTCCCTGCATCAAGCAGGTCTCTTGGCACCATTTTTCTAACAGCGTTGTGCTCACTTTGTGTTTCTAGGTCATATTTTGGTACTTGTCACAATATTTCAAAGCAAGGTTTAGGTCTATTGTACATAGGGTTGCTGTGAGTTGCAGGCACATGACAACAATGTTGCACACTTAGTAGGCTACTCTCCAAATGTTTTATACATAATGGAAACAAACACAAAATTGGTGTAACTCATTTGATGGTGGTGGTGTAGAACCAGACAAGCCACATCTCTGAGGTATGTCTATATTATTGTTACTGTTTTCTACTTTTTAAAATGACTCAAAAAACCTGTCAAGTCAGAACTGACTGGTAGCTGACCCTCCAGTGGCTGTAAATCACACAGGACGAAGCTGCTCGTTTTTCTCCTGAGGAGCAGCTGGTGGCTTTGAACCACCTGCCTTTGAGTTGGCAGTGCAATTCCTTATCTACCCACTGCCACCCCCTGAATCGGGACAGACCTGAGCTTTGAGCTGAGACAGGCTGGCTCCATCCAGAGTCTGCCTTTAAGTCATTACCTGGCGCTGCCTCAGTGTGCTCTATTGCCTTATTGAAATCGTAAAATAAGTCATAAAAATGGAAATGGGTATAGATAAATTGTATCCGAATAGGTTCCACTTCTTATCACTGCATTGGCAGAGTGAAAAGAAAGAAAAGTGGGCGTCACAGAAGCATGACTGAGTCGAAGGAGAAGGAGAACTAGTGCTTTCTGTGGGCTTGTGTCTACAGAATGACCCCTGTCAGTCCTTCAGTTCCCCGAGTCCATCAGCCCACCGAGCACTCCTTTGGCTGTGTGAGCTCCTGAAGGAGTTTCACAGAACACCAGTGTTGGCTTACACAGTTCAGTGCAGGGAACTGATACCCTCCCTAGAGGATGACTGAGGGTGGCAGCGTCTCTGCAGCTCACACCCTCCGAGCAAAGGAAGTCTGACCCCCCCCACCCCAAGGAAGACACTTATATTTGTGGGAATGCTGATTCCTATTGTGTTCGGATGACCTCACTGGTGTGGCGTCCCTCTTAAGTCTTGATGAGTTTTCTCTGTGCTGCCCCAAACGCAGATTTAGCCAGTGACATCCTAATCCACGGGATGAAGGCGCGAAACCGCTCCATTCATGGCGACGTGGTAGCTGTGGAGCTGCTCCCTAAGAATGAATGGAAAGGCAGGACGGCCGCCCTGTGCGAGAATGACAGCGAGGACAAGGCCTCGGGCGAGTCCCCGAGTGAGCCCATGCCCACAGGTAAGACCGCTGCAACCTCAGCCGGTTGCCTGATTTGCCCATGGAGTTTGCATTTTTCTCTTTCACAACCCAGGAACACTATAGTTATTAATATGACATTGGCTCTCCTACATTATCTGTTTCTCTCTCTGCCAGATTATTTTATTATCATCATTACTTACATATGCTGTGATCAAAGTCATTACCGTCAAGTCAAATGACTTGAGGTCACAGCTGACCCTCCAGCAGAATTTCAAGGCTGTAAATTGCATGGAAGGAAATTGCTCGTCTTTCTCCCTTGGAACTGCTGAATCCCTTAATCCCTGCTCTCTCTCTAAGCAATTTTATTCTGGCCTAGACTTGACATCTCCTGCCCAGATCCCTTCCCCAGCCTCCAGTCTATTGGTGTCATTCCCTGAATGGCTAGTGGAAAGCTTAAGCTTAACATGCCTAACAACATACTTCCAGTTCTACCCCTGACATCTCTTCCCAGTTTTCACCAAATATGTATTGTCAAGTCAGAACCGACTCATAGCTGACCCTCTAGCAGGTTTACAGAGGCATTAAATCTCCCAGGAAAGACTGCCTATATTTTTCTCCCACGGAGTAGCTGGTGGATTTGAACCACTTGCCTTTGGGTTGGCAGCACAGCTCCTTACCAGTAAGCCAAGAATAGCAAGTTCATTTTACAGTTAGTCAAGCCAGAGACCTTGGAATTACCCTTAACTTTTCTTTTTCTTGTACAAATAAACAAATCCTGTCAGCTCTAGCTTTCATTTGTGGCCCAAAGTCATCTACTTCCCACATTACCTCAACTGTTCTGTTTAGTCAGCTCATACCACTCAGCTGAGTTATTCCAGCTCACTCAGCTCCTACCCTTGTTATCATATAGTTGAAGCCACAGGGGTCTTTTTTAAGATAAGGTAGGTCCTATTGTGCCTCTGCTCAAAAGGCTCCCATGGCTGCCTCCTGTTTCTCTCAGAGAGCATCAGAGTCCTTTCCACGGCCTTCAGGTCCACGGCCTACAAGTCTGAGCTTGGGCAGCCCCCTGGCTTCCTGGCTTTTTCTTCAGTCACCTTGATCCACTCATAAATGTCCTCACAGCACTTTTCCTCACTTCAGTTAAGTCTCTGCTTAAATGTCACTTTATTTAAAGCAGTGCCGCTTCTGAACCCCCACCTCACCCTGCTTTCTATCTGTCTAAGCAATTATCACCACCTCACATGGATTTCTTTTTTGTTGTCTGTTTGCTTCCCCACTGACACCCAGTCTAGAATGTGAACCCCCAGCATCCAGGGGTTTTATTTAGTTACTGCTGTTCTCTGAACCTAGACCAGAGCCTTGTCCTTGGTAGGGGCTCATATACTTGTGGAAGGAAAAGCAAAAAGATAGCACATTTTAATGATTGCAGTTTGTCTTTCATGATGTAAATCAGTGATTGTTAGAAACATTGCATATCAGACTTAGGATTGGTATACTTCTCTGTGTTTGATTTTGGACTAAAGATCTTTATTGGTGAGAAAGTGCTGGAGAGACTGAAATTGCATAGCGGAAGGCACTAATTTAGAAGAATAAAATCCTTGGACTTTTCCCAACACCTAAACCTGAGCTTAATATGTCCAAACAAAAGAGAAAGTGGAGCAGATGGGTCCTATGTGTGTAATCAGGCCTCACAAAAGAAAGAACATACTGACAATGTTATTTTTAAGATGCCCATCATAAAGAAGTTTAGCATCCCCAAAATAAAATCCTGAGAAGGCAGAGATATATCTTTAAGTATTTCTTGTATGAATGGACTTGGGGGAGGGGGGAAGGAGATGTTGCATTTCTTTATTTTGACATTAACTGGCCAAAGTCCAGGTTGGTGACAGTTGACGTTTTGTTTTGTTTTCTCAAAGGCAGAGTGGTGGGCATCCTTCAGAAGAACTGGCGGGATTATGTGGTGACTTTTCCATCCAAAGAAGAGGTCCAATCTCAGGGCAAAAATGCTCAGAAAATCCTAGTCACACCTTGGGATTACAGAATTCCCAAAATCCGGATCAGCACTCAGCAAGCAGAGGCCCTCCAGGTGGCTGACGAGGTTCTCCTGCTATCCCCACACCCTGTGTGCCAGATTTTGAGCAGCACCAGGAAGCACTGTTAATTCCTTTGCACAAGAAGTGGTAAATTATTGATGGCATCTGGCATTCTGAGACACTGTGTTTTTTTTCCAAAAATTCTAAATATATAAGAACCATCTATTAAGTAGTCCTTGGTTAATAAATGAAGGCCAGAGAGAACCCGTCCTAGAAAGAGCTGTGTAGGACATCCAGAGAGAACATACATTATCCAGCTGTCCAACACAGAAACTTTCAATAGATACACTTTGCCAACACTAACAAGCTTTCTTCCAGCAAGTGATATAGAAATACAATCACTCTGCCCTGTAGGGATGATATAGTGGTACCTCACAGAATCGATTATCCATAAAGGAATATAGCACTAGAGAGAAGACATAAACAGCAAAGTTAGGAATTAACCTTTACTTGCAGCATAGAGCGTAGGCATTGCCAGGTTTATTTCACCTGATATTTGGAGGTTGTAAATGAAACATTAAAGCAGAACATCCCCAGATAGTAACCTGGTCACCATGTACCTCGATGTCTCAAAGCCTAACCACAGGCTTTCTGCTGTGCTGGAGTTCTTGGGCAGTGGAGTTCACACTGGCACCATCTTCCCTACCAAATGGTTATTTTAAGACTTCAGAAAAATTAGAATGTAATCCTCCACAAAACAAAAAACAAAACCAAACACAAAGCTATTGAGACTTTTAATTTTAAACTTGATTTGGTCTGTACACAATTGCATCATACCCTTGTGTTGCAAATATCAACTAGAATCTGTTACAGTTGACTTTCTACAAAAAATGAAACTTTCCAGCCTACTTACTTGATATGAAACTGGGGTACCTCTATCCAAAGCACTAGACCAAGCATTTGCATACCATCTGGTAATTCAGTAAAATAGAAGAACCCCAAAACAAACAAAAAAACCCTGTTTGCAAATTAGCTACTGTTCTTGGAACTAGATGTAGTTTGTCTTCTAATTGGCTCATCTATCTCTGGCACCAGATTTATATTTCACTTTTTTTCCTATGTGTAGGACTTCAGGGTGATTGTGCGCATTGATTCCTGGGAGTCAACATCTTTGTATCCAAATGGACATTTTGTGCGAGTCTTGGGAAAAATCGGAGACCTGGAAGGGGAAATTGCAACCATCCTTGTGGAGAACAGTATTTCTGTTATCCCTTTCTCAGAAGCTCAGGTCAGATATCCCAGAGGCCTTTGGTCCAGTGACATTTTGTACATTTTCCTTTTAGTTTTGTTGTTATCGTTGGTTTCATCATTAAGAAAAGTCTCTGTACGATGTAATAATTCACTGTCTAGAGCCACAGATAATGGAGAAAGTCTCCCTTTTCTTTGTTCTATATTTGGACCAGACTAAAGACAAGAGCAAAATTGTTTCCCCATAGCTTCACACTCAATTTTTTTATTTCCAACTGTGCTTAAAAATGGTATGTCAGAGTCTTATAGTCAGTGTATATCCATCCCCAGAAACTGCGAGGCTACCAAGTTACAGACCCAACTGCATTCCACTTGCTCTGAGAATCACTCAACCAAGGCCTTGCACAAGGTCACAGACAGCAGCTTCCCGGGTTCCATACGTCTCTGACCCAGGGGTGAAAAAAGCATGCTCATTATGAAAGATTTTGTAACCTTTACAGGACACAAGAATTCCATAAACGGAGATTGTTTATTTGCATGCTTTATGATCTTTTAAAGTCCTCATAAGTTGTGTTTATTCTTCCAGAGCTGTTTTTGTGGTGTGCATGTGCTGCCTTATACTCTGCTGCTTTCTTGTAAAATTATTTCTCAATATTGACATGAGCCTACTTATTTTTAATCATTGTGGCAGATGACTGTATATTGATGTACCCTAGTTTGCGAAGCATTCCTCAGTTGTTGGACATTTGTGCTGCTTAATTTTTTACTATCATAAAGAATGCTATTTAAAACATTTTTATAAGCATCGCTCTCCCCTGCCCCTTCCTTTTGATCATTTCCTTGGAATGTAATATTAAAGTGAGATTACAAAGTCAAGGGGCATAAAAAATTTAAATAGCTTTTGTTATGTATTGGCAGATTGTTCTCCATAAAAATTGGGCCAATTTGCATGGCCGTCAAGAGTAGATGGGTGTTCTTATTTTTATTATTGTCTTTGACAGAACAGTAGCTATAATAGTAAAATATTTGAGAATATTTTATAGGATTAAATTTTTATGTTTAACATTTGTTTCTCAAAATTATTTGTTGACTTATTTGGCAGCTCTTAGTGAAAATATTGGGATAAAATAAAATGTGGATCACACTTCATGGGACTAGAATGTTCTATTTCTTTCTAACCTACTTAACTGTGAATTGATAGTTTTAAAAGGTAGTACTGGAGAGAGATAATGCCCTACATTAATGCTGTATAAATTATCTTTAAGTTGCTCATAAGGACAAATACTGTATAAGACCATTATTGTAAAAATAGAAAGGTAACTAGTAAGATGTGAATAAATGTCCAAGGAGGGAAGGGAAGGAGGCTAGGAAGTAGGTGGGGGGAAATCTCTGGGTCACAAAGTTGGGGGGGAGTAGGAATTATGAAAGAATCAGTGGGGATCTGAAAAGGGAATCATGGGCATAGATCAATGGTGATTAATTTTTTATAAGACACAATGTATGAGAATAATCATATGAAACAATGTAAATGGGAGAAACCTCTAATTTTTAAAAAGTATAAAAAATTATCTTTAAGCAGTAAGCTTTTAATATTTGAGACATACAGGGAGGGTGTTTGTTTATTCCCATCTCCCGTCCCAAGGCTTGATTTGCATGAAAAAGTTTAACTACATTTAAATTACATTTAGAAGGGATAATCTGAAAATGAGAAAAGATATTGTCCTCTGTACAAAGAATGCAGGCAGCATGGGACAACCGAGCATGACCTCTTCTAACTTTACCAGAAGGAAGCAGTCCCATCAGCAATATCCACAGTACAAAACCAGTTTCTAGGATCTCAGACTTGTTCTCCTTGCACCCACACCTCCTTCTTCTATTTCCAGTGTCAGTCAGACTGCTTTACAAATGGGTCCAAAGTCTGTTGCCATGGCCACACAGATCTCACAGAACCACACTCATGGTTATGAGGTTTATTAGAAAAGTTAACAGTTCATGTTGGCAACAGGATGCAGTTCCTTAGTCCAGACACCTTCTCCAGTGACTTGTAGGCCCTTTGACCTTAAGCCTCATTTACAAAGCTCCCTTAGTCCTGCCAATTATGGTATCCCTCCTCAGTCCTCCAGCAAGCGTGGACAGAGGCCCCTCTAGCTTTGGCTCCATGGAGTAGCAGTCCCAAGTCAGCTCTATTTCATGTCCGTCTGTGGTTCTCTGCTGAGGACACTATTCTTGTGTAGATCCTAGTCCAGCTGGCACACAAATCTCTTTCCTCAGAGGTCATGCACTGCACTCTCTGCTTCCTCTTCCCTGCTGGTAGTGAGATTCCCATCTTTGCCGATAAACTTGCTCAATTCAAACTTGATGGGATGAGAAAAGCTGACCAATCCCATAATGATTAGTTTATATACACCCTATTGCAAGTTCCCTCCCAGTCATATGGTGAAAGTCCAAGCTAGAGACTAGGAAAGCCATGTTGAACAATATGATACCCTGTCCTCTTAATAAACCACCCGTTCATTCTGACTCCAGCCCCCATGACTGAAAAGGCTGGTAGAGGTTGAAGAACATTTCCTATTAGACTGTGAGGATTTTCAAGGAGAGCAGACTGTGTCTTTCCTATTGACTTGGTCTTCCAGAGCTGAACACCATAGCTAACCTGTATTAGGCACCTAGTATATACTGGTGGGAAGTGAACATTGGTTGAATGAAATTTCTGTGTGGTCTCTTAGGAAAAGTAGATGTCTATAGAAATTTACTGGGTGTGAATTACTGATTATTTGACCTCTTTTGGAACAGATGTGTGAGATGCCGGTGAACACACCCGAAAATCCCTGGAAGGTGAGTCCTGAGGAGGAAAGTGAACGTAAAGACTTGAGGAAAACCCACCTCGTGTTCAGCATTGACCCCAAAGGCTGTGAAGACGTGGATGACACAGTCTCAGTCAGAACCTTAAAGAATGGCAACCTGGAACTTGGGGTCCACATTGCAGATGTGACACACTTTGTGGCACCAAATTCTTACATTGACATTGAAGCTAGAACAAGGTAATGCTATTTGAAATCAGCAGGCAGCATTATGATTGAGTGCATGTGGCTGTGTAACGTACATTGTAACTGTGCTGGTTTCAGGTTGTCAGATCAAAGATTTGACATTTGTACAATTCTGAGGATTCCCTTCAAGGGTGAAAAGAAGCCCATATCCCCTTTTCCTTTAGAGAAGTAGTACTTTGATCAATTTACCTCTCCTTTTCTAATGTGACCTTTTGCCACGTTTTCCCTACTCAGTTGCAGTAGGTTAAAGTATTTGCAGCAGCAAATAAAGTATGATCTTATATAAATACTGGATCATTACACTTTAATTTTTCTTCCATAACTAAAATTCATGTCACTGAAGAAAGATTTTTCTTTCCTTTTTTGTGTCAGTGGAAGAATATCCAGCCCAAAGCAATATCATTTAGCAGAGTGGGAGCATGGGAATAGTTTTATTACCCAGTCTGCTGCACTTTATGAAAAAGCAGCAGCCTCAGGGAATTGGGGCTGCAGCTTTGGCCGTTCCCCTCACGGCAGCCCTCGCAGTCAGCAGTTCTCCTTCCCTGGGCTGAAGGTCACATCCAAGCCTGTGTGTCATTCACAGGGCCACCACCTATTACTTAGCAGATCGACGCTATGACATGCTGCCTGCCGTCCTCAGTGCTGATTTGTGTTCCCTGTTGGGAGGCGTTGATAGGTGAGTATGTCTGCTGGGGGTTTTAAAAAATTATTACTTGTCTTCAGAACTTGTGTGCCTGATGCTCCTTGCTTCCGACCTCCGTCCCTTCCTCTGATACGCTCTTGCTATGCTCCCCTCACTGGCACTCTTCTCTTGCCCTGTGTCCTCCACACCCCCTGCAGCACTCTTATTTAAATCCAGCTAATACATATGGCTTTATGCTCATACATGTGTGTGTGCATATGTAGTCCCTGGCCTGGGTATGAAGGTCATGAACTAAGGGAGTTATTTTATTTGTATATTTACTGTAGTCAAAGTTGGTGTTTATCTTTTTACATTCTTAACTGAGATTTGCATGAAAGTGCACAGAACAAATTGGCTTATCACTCAGTAGTTAGTATACACACATTGTTTTATGACATTGATTGTAATCTCCACAAAGTAACATGTTTAACTTTGAATAGGAGTAAAACCATATGATGCCAAATTCACAGGCTTTAAAAAATATCTAGTGAAAGCTTCCCTGTGCTTTTTCTCTCTAAGTTACCTATTTCTATGTATTTATGTGTTTGTGTGTGTATTCACACAGAAGCAAATAGGGATGTGTTTTCTTTCTTTACAAAGCAAGGCATTACTTTACATTAAGGCATTTGGAGATCATTCCATCTTAATAACAGCCACTTATCTATGGAAATTTTGCATTCTTTCCAATCTTTTGCTGTTACAAACAAAGCTGTACTGAAATACTTGGAACATAAGTTGTTTCACACTTTATAAATACAATCTTCCTGATGAATAAATTCCTAGAAATAATATTGCTCTACCAAAGGGAACATACATTGTGTTTAGATACAATCAAATTATTCTCCATAGAGGTCACAGCAACTATATTCTCCTGACTGGTGTATAGTTTCTCCATAATCTTGCCAACATGTTATGTTACATGTATTTATCTTTGCCAATTCAAAGATAAAAATTAATACCTTAAAATATATTTAATTCACTTTTTTACTGTAAATAAAAGCTTTTTTTTAATGTACAGGAGTATTTTTTTTCTGTAAACTACTTCATGCTCCATGCCCATTTTCCTTTTTCAATTCTTGATTTCTAATTGATTTGTGTAATCCAAATTATTAGAGAAAATAATTGTTGTTTTTTCTGTGTTTGGGCCATTTCTGTATATATTTTTTGCCCATTTTTCTATGTATTTTCGAATTGTGTGATTTGGTGGCAAAATATTTATTTCCTCACAGATTTTCTCACTGATAGCCTGCCATAAGGCTGACATCACGGTTCAGCATCATTCTGTAGGATCTGAAAGCTTCACTCTCTTCACGGAGGAGCCAGACTTGGCCCTGGGCCATCTTTTCTAATCAAAAAGGAGGACTTGTACCATCACATGTGCACTCATTTCCTATTTATTGCGGTCTCAGGAGAAAATCTGGCTTTATTGTTTTAATTCAATATATATTTTTATTAAGTTGTAGTGTAGTTGTCGTGACCTGTGGAGGTGGAATCAACCCATAACTAACCCTTTAGCGGGCTTTCAGAGGCAGCAAACCACCAAAGGAGGAGACTACCTGTCCTTCCCTCCTGGAGCAGTTGGTGGATTTGAACTGCGTGCCTTTGGTATTGCAGAACAGCTTCCTGCCACTAGGCCACCAGAACGCCTTTCATTTAGTGGTAGAGTGGCTGAATTGAAACTTTAGGCCAGAAACTTGTGACAATGCCATTTCTTTCAAGCCGCAGCCAGGGTCAAGTTCTGCTTGCTTCAGAAGTGGGGAAACTGAATAATGATACTGTCATTATTTCTGGTTTTGTAGGTATGCTGTAAGCGTCATGTGGGAATTGGATAAAGCTACCTATGAAATTAAGAAAGTGTGGTATGGCAGAACCATTATTCGATCAGCATACAAATTATTCTATGAAGCAGCCCAGGAGTTACTGGATGGAAACGTCAGTGTTACTGATGATATTCCAGAATTCAAAGACTTGGATAAGAAGACCAGACAAGCCAAGCTGGAGGAGCTGGTGTGGGCAATTGGCAAACTAACTGACATAGCTCGCCATGTCCGAGCGAAACGAGACCTCTGTGGGGCGCTGGAACTTGAGGGGGTGGAGGTTCGTGTACAGCTAGATGAAAAAAAGAACATTCACGACCTCATCCCCAAGCAGCCCCTGGAAGTCCACGAGACAGTGGCAGAATGCATGATCCTGGCCAACCACTGGGTGGCTAAGAAGATCTGGGAGAGCTTTCCGCACCAGGCGCTGTTGCGCCAACACCCGCCTCCACACCAAGAGTTTTTTTCTGAACTCCGGGAATGCGCCAAAGCGAAAGGCTTCTCCATAGACACACGGTATTCTTCTTTTGAAGGGCCAGGGCAATGGGAGGACGTCGTGTACGCTTGAGGTTGACTTTTTTTTAAAAAAACACATTTGTGTATTAGGTGAAAGTTTACACAGAGTATTTCCCACTTTGTTCCCCTCAACGTCAGCACTCATTTCCACCCTTCCTTCCTGTTTCCATCCTTCAGCTTCCCTACCTCTCCTTACCCTCTCATCTCTCCTTATCTTCCCATCTTTGCTTTTGGGCAAATGCTGCCCATTTGGTTATATATATACACACCAGTAGTTCTTATAGCAGCCAGAATAGAAAACTGTCTGGCACTCTTCATTTATTTTTGTTGGCAAATATTAAGTACTAGTTAAAATACCTTTTTATGTAAGTAACTTTTCCTTTCTTGTTGCTCTGTTGTTTGTGCTGTGTGTCCCTCCCCATGGTAATAAAAACTTCTGATGTCACCATAATTAATCTTTAAATCATGAGATAATATGTTCCTTCTCTATTCATCATCATTCTTGCCTTATCCTTTTTTTCTTAGCTGGTAACAATATAGAACATTGTAATTTTTAGTAAAATCTTACATTTCCTGGGGGATTTTTGTTTTGACAGTATTATTTTGAGCATAAATAAATACAACATTTTTCTCCCTTTAAAGGATACGCTAACTTGGGTTTACTGGTATAATTTGGGTGTAGCTTAGTTTTGAATTCTTTGGCTCAGTAATTCTTATAAAAAAATGGGGGTGGAGGGGGATGAGTCCAATCCAATATCTAACCTGTATGGGATATTTAAGTTTCAGGGTACTAGGAATTCAATTCAGCACGTATCTGACCAACTACTGTGTGCCAAGTGTTAAGTTAACCCAGAGAATATCAGCACATTGTTAACTAGTTAAGTAACATACTTAAATTTTACATACATACTTTCTTTTGTTGTTTAAACCTTAAAAGCAAACTAGATTTCAGTGGTTAAATAGAGAGCCTTTAAGATGGGTCCAACATAAATATAACTACTGTCAGGCAAGCACTTATTTCAGCTCATGAGTAAAGGGTTCCCCTCAGAGTGCTGATCTGTAAATTATTGCTGGGAACTGAAAATGTTTTTCTGGTTTCTGTCAGATCCAATAAAACACTGGCTGATTCACTGGACAGCGCCCACGACCCCAGTGATCCCATCGTGAACAGGCTGCTGCGCTCTATGGCTACGCAGGCCATGTCGAATGCCTTGTACTTCTCCACTGGCTCGTGTGCGGAGGAAGAGTTCCACCATTATGGTGATTTGAAAACATTTTCCTATGTGTGGGGAGAACCTTGAATCAGTAGTTGCAAACATTTGTTTTTGGTGCTATTTCAAGCTTTTGGTTTCTTTTAAAGGTCTTGCATTAGATAAGTATACTCATTTTACTTCTCCAATAAGAAGATATTCTGATATCATAGTACACCGATTGTTAATGGCGGCCATTTCAAAAGATAAAGTGGAAATGAAAGGAAATCTGTTCAGCAACAAAGATCTTGAGGAATTGTGCAGACATATCAACAGCAGAAACCGAGTAAGAGGGTATTTTAAATTCTACCCTGCCATCTCTTTTGTTAAGAGAGTATTAGCTGTATTGTGTAACAGAATGAAGTATCAAATACATTCTACTAAATTCAAATCTAGAATTACTCTAGCCATGGAAATAAGATGGAAAATTAGTTTGAGTAGATTTACTCTAGATTTACAAGTGTTCAAGGGTTGTTTACATAGAGTTGAGAGGTTGAATAGTAAGTTAAACGTTTTTTTTTCCAAAATGGAGAAATGTTAACAAGATCTAAAAAGACAGTAGACTCCTATAATCTTTCCACCCAAGCTAATTATTAGTAATGATCCTAGATAATCCTAATGTATAAATAGCATATCACACTGCTGTTTGAAATCTGTTATTCAATGCACTTGATATCGACTGTGTGCCATTTCAGTTGATAAAGCTACACTATCATTTTAGAAGCTGCATTGTGTTCTATCTTAAAGATAACTTATTTTCCAGTTTTATCATGTTTTGGTGCTATGCTGTGCCATTAACTACAGTGGCTATTTAAATTTCAACTGATTAAAACAAAGTATTAAAATTTTAGTTCTTCAGTTGCTCTACATTTAACCTTTCATGTATGTCTAATGACTACCTATTTTGCAAGGCAGATTAAACATTTCCATCTTGAAGCAAGTTCTGTTGGATTTTAGTTAATCCATTTTATGACCATCCTATATACTTCTGCTAACTTGTCAGATTTTTACCCGGAAATGGGATTGCTGAGTCAAAAGTTATACAGATAAAATCTGATACATTGCTAAGTTGTCCTCCAAAATAGTGTCATCAGTTTACACTGAATTTGGTAGAGCAAATTTGAAAATAAAGGGAACATTTAGTTGTGCTACCCTACCTGAAATGGGCATATCAGATTTGCCAGCCTCTTGCAGTTTGTGCTCAAAGGTTAGTGACTGGCACCTAACCAATGGTATTGTGGGGGGAAAGGTCAGGGATCTGTTTCTGTAATGCATGAAAAAGTTGACTCAGAATTGACTGAATGGCCATTAATGATTTGATGAAATGTAGTTATAGTTAGGTTCCACCAAGTTGATTACAACCCTATAAACAAATCTGGATCCTGCACCATCCTCAGTGTCCAGCCCATTTTTGGTCACTCCATTGATCCATCTCCTAAGAGGTCTTTCTTTTGCTGACCCTGCACCTTTCCTGTACAGTGTCCAAGGACTGGCCCTTCCTAACATGTATGTGAGACTGATTTCACCATCCCTGCCTCGAAGAAGCACATGAACTGCATTTCTTCCAAAATGGGTTTGTCCTTTGAGCGGTCCATGGGATGCTCAGTATTCTCAACCACCACAACCCAAAGGCATCAATTCTTCCATCATCTTTAAGTCACTGTAATGATGAAAAGCAGCTTCTAAAGAAAAGGTTTTCTTAATTTTCTAATTTTTGAGGGAACAATAGGTTTGTATTAAGGACTTTATAAAATCTAGCCTTTTTAAAGACTATTTATGTATGAATATGAATTCCCTGTTCCTTCTGGAAATGTCAGGGAAACCTATCATGCTTTGTGTGTGCTTCATGTTGCAGGCAGCACAGCATTCTCAGAAGCAGTCTACTGAGCTTTTCCAGTGCATGTATTTTAAAGACAGAGACCCTGAAACTGAGGAGCGTTGCATATCTGACGGTGTCATTTACTCAATTAGAACAAATGGTGTGCTTGTATTTATACCAAGGTATGTTTACACCCAACAAAATGATTAAGACATCAAACTACAAATCAAGAACAGATTAATCATTGGGTTGTACAATTTGGCGGGTGGGGGGGTTAGGGAAATTGAAAGAATTTGTTCAAATTTGTATTTGAATTTTGTAAATAAACTAGTAAAAAAAAGGGATATTTAAAAAAAAAATCAAGACCACAAATAGTATTTTAAATAACTTTGTCACATACTTTGGGCCCATGGCCAGGAGATACTGGTCCTTAGAGAAGGACATCATGCTTAGAAGGGTGGACACACAGCACAGGAGAAGACCCTAGATGAGATGGATTGATATAGTAACTAGAGCAACGGGTATTGGTGTGTTGGGATTAGCAAGACTGGCTCAGGACAGAGCAGTCTTCAGAGCTGTTGTATACAGGGTCACTGTGGGGCACAGATGACTCTACTGCACATAACAACAAAGTTACATGTGCATAATGTATAACCCTATGTTAAGTATGAGGTAAGAGATTAGAATCGAGTATATCTATCAGTGATCAGACCTTGTAAAAGGTTTTACTTTCTTATATAGAAATAGTTTTAGAGGAAAAAAGAATAGCTTTAGGGTTGGAGGTAAATCACAGGAAAATTAATTTGCTTTTAATTTAGAAGAAAAACTCTAAGTATGAAAGATTGGCATAGTAACTACATTATCTTTGGAATTTTATTGTCAATGATTCAGGTATGGGATTAAAGGTGCTGCTTACCTAAAAAATAAAGACGGTTTAGTTATCGCATGTGGCCAAGACAGCCGTTCTGAATGGAAACCAGGATCCCTTCAGCGATTTCAAAACAAAATTACATCCACCACAACTGGAGGGGACTCTGTTACATTCCATTTGTTTGACCATGTGACAGTAAGTCTATTTTTCTTGAGCAATGTTTTCAATGTAAAGTGCAAAGTATGTAATTTAATAATATGCATTCTCCCCCCCCCCAACTATAATAGGTAAAAATATCTGTACAGGCTTCACGCTACCATTCTGATCGGATCAGGCTTGAATTAATAAGCAACAAGCCATACATGGTACCAAACACAGAACTTTCTGACCAGAGCTCCCTCTTGCTGAAGAGTGAATTAGTGAAAGAAGTAACCAGATCTGTGGAAGAAGCTCAGCTTGCCCAAGAAATCAAAGTTAACACCATTCAGGAAGAATATCAAGAATACTGCCAAACAAAGGGGGAAAGCCTGTACATGCTTCTAGAAGAGATAAAGGACCTGGCTCTCCTGGATGTTTCAGACAACGGTGGAATGTGACAGAATTTTCTTAAAGGTGCTTTTATATTCAGTGACTATTTTACCTTTGACAACGACACCTAATGGGTGTCATCCAATGTCCCAGCCCACGTGTAAAATGTTCTCATAATTAAACTTGTTTTAAATATAGTGTAGCGCAGTCATGGTGGAAAACTTATTTCTTGGCAATAAAAAGTTCTATGCTATTAGGTTCTTGTTAGGTGTCATCAAGTTGACAGCTGAACTGACCCTAGGAACAGATTCAGAACTTCCCTATCCTGTGCCATCCTCATGATTGTGCTGAACCCTACAGTCACTGCTGTCAATCCATCTTTCTGACCCTCCACCATTCCAGGATGTCTTTTTCAAAGGACTGTCCCCTTCTGAAAACACGTCTCGCTGATAAAGGTCAATTTAACCTTTCCCTCCTTGACCTAACTGAAATCTTCTAAGAACCACTCCTTTTATTTTCACTTGGCTGTGTCAACAAAGTGCTTCCCCCCTACTTTGACCAAGTTAACAAACCCAAGTAGGGGAGGACTCTCGTCAGGTCCAGCCTTCACCATTCCCAATTCTTTATTTCCTAAACCTTTATTTCTGTCACTATTGTACATGTTCTTCTCACTACTTAGTCTTAAGTCCTTTATTCCTTAGGGAACTTCAAATCAGTGAGAAAACTGTGCCCTATTCTTTGAAGTTCTATATTTAGCACCGGCACTCTGTGAACTTTGATGAATGTCGAGAGTTGTAGAGGGGCTTCAGGCCTTTTGTTCATAGGGTTGTTATGAGTCGGGCTCAACTCAAAACCAAACAACAGTTAAGGCAGTATTTCTTATGTGACCTTTGAAATTTTAAAGTGATTCCTCAAAATAGATGTAAATATATGAAAATCTTTTAACATTATGTAATAGCAAAACTAAACAGCCATGAGACATTTCATTAAGGCTATACTTTTAAAAAAATTTTACTTTTAAAAAACGGTTATTAATACTCAACATCTTAAAACAGCCACCAGTTGGTTTTTACCAGTGTTTTAAAAAACGATGCATCCAATGATACATTACCAATACAAACTCCTTATTAAGTACAAATCGTTTTATGAAGTCCTATTCACCTATATAAAAATAAACACTAAAGAGAATACTGTTAAAAAGTAAATTAAAACCATAATTGTAAATAAATAGAATAAATAGCATGTTTTAAACAGAAACCTGTAAAAGCTTTACTAGGTAAGGACATTCACTTAGCAGTAGTAGGGAATATATCGAGCACAGTTAACCCCAATAGGAAGGTTAGCAAGTTAATACACTCTCTCTTATTGAGGCCTATTCAAAATCATGAGTCCAGCTTAAAATTACTGCTGTACATTTAAAAAGACTGGTCCGGCTGTGTTTTCTCTGATTCCTCCTGTGCATTTACAGTATCGGCAACATCATCACGTAGGCTTTCTAGACTGTCTTCATGTAATCCATTTGATATCTCTTCTTTTTGATCTTCACTTGTATTAACCACTTGTATTGGGTGTGTCCTGGGTGTGTCCACTAGCAAGTCTGCAAGAGAGGTTATCACATTAATACTATTGGAAGCATCTGATCTGAGAGTCTCTTCACAGGCTATGGTCAGTAAAAAATAATGATCACTTAATGTTGATCATGACCATTTTCTTATAAGTAAACCCATTTTTATAAATGTAAAAGTTCCACTTAAAATTGTTTAATGGTCTCGAAAGGGACTAAATTCAACTTCTTGAATTACAGCCAAATTAAAAAATTAAAAATCAGTATAGGGTTGCTGTGAGTCATACCCAACTCAACAGCAAACAACAACTAGAAAGATGGTAAAAATCTAAGCCAAAATAATTTGAAAACTTTCATGCAAATCATAATAAAAGTGATCTACTGTAAAGAAAAATTAAAGTTTGTAGTTTGGCAAATTTTAAAGTCATATAAAAGATGAGCTTTAATTTTTATTGCAGGCATGCTTTGAGGATGACAGCAAGGAAGTCAGTGCATAACAGTTCTATCTGTATGCAATTTTTCACATAGTACTAATACCCATTTATAGAGCTAAAAGCTAATTACTCATGGGGAAAATCCTAGTAATTTAGTTACAGATTAACTTTCACTTGGGAACTTTATTATCTTGGGCAAAACATGTTTTACAACATGGTGTATCTTACTACTTATTATCATTTTTATTTTCCCATTTTAAAAGGATAAGCAAAATTGAAAAAAGGATTTTCTATGCAAAAAGTGAGCATTTTCTATGCTCACTTAATCCAAAATTAACTTGTAATTATTTTAAAATACAGCTCTAGCAAACTTCGTTATCTAGTCTTCAAACCCACAGTCTGTTTTAAACATAACTAAGTCTGTTTTAAATGGGAGAGGAGACGCTACTGTCAGTCATGCTAATCTCCACCAAAAGTGGTTACAACAGCTCACAACAGAAGCAACAAACGGCAATTAAAACATATTCTCAGGTTCTAAACAGCGAAACAGACAAATATATGTAAACATACTGTATCACATTTTTCTATTCCTAGTGGTACTCTATTTTGGGGTATGGATAGTAGCAAAGTTAAAACTTCTAACATCCTCTTGGATTATTAATGGCAGCACATAAAACCCACATAAAATTTACCATTTCCTTGGGACTGACTGTTATTCAGAAGCTTTGCCTGCCTTCTTTCCAAGGCCAGTTGTTTATTTCTCTCAATTCTCTGTTGCTGCTCTTCTGTTAGGCTTCTACTTGACTCAGGAGCAAACCTTTCAGTTGCAGATGAGCTTGTCAAAAACGGATCTAATTCAGTAGCAGTTATATCATGGTCATTATTTTCTACTATTTCGTCTATAATGTAAAAGAAAAAGTATGTTAATATGTACCTGTAGTGTTAGACTACTTAAGAGAAAAACTTTATGCAGTTAGAAATTGAAAATCAGTTTAAAGTGGCAAGATGATAAACTTGAAGAAACCATGTTAGGGATGTTGTTGTTAAGTACAGTCCAGTCAAGTACAACTCATAGAGACCCGATGAACAGATCTGAACACTGTCCTATATTGAGCCACTCATCATCCCTGACAAGCTTGAGCCTACTGCTGCAGACCCTGTACCAATGCATCTCACTGAGGGTATTCCTCTCTTTCGCTGCCCCTCTGCCTTTCCAAGCTTGATTTCCTTCTCCAAGGAACAGCCTCTTGGAAGAACATACCCAAAGTTATGTGAGACAAGGTTCGCTGTCCTTGCCTCCAAAGAGCACTCGAGCATTTGCTACATTCTCATACTCACTCTGGATGCAGAGCGTGAGGTATGAGAATGTAGCAAATACATGGTTGAGCCAAGTAAGTATTTATGAATCACTTTAAGAAAAGATATTTTACATTAAATAGAAAAACTAATTTAGACATATACATGAAAGGAAAAGTTCTTAGTTATGATTAAAAATATTTTATACTTGGGCTAATAAAATTTTGAAGAACCTAAACCTCATTTTCATTCTATAGTATGTATAAGAGAGTCTATACAGGGAGCTCTAGTGAATAAATAATAAGCTGCCCTGCCAGTCCAAAGAAAGGTGATTCAAATCATCACCTGCTCCAAAGGATAAAGATGGGCAATGCAGTGTAATGTACAGCTTCTGAAAACTTGCTAGAGGGACAGTCAGGAGTCAGTTCCAACTTGATGGCATATGACAAGTAACATGCAGTACATAGTAATCATCATACATAGGTTATGTTCTTTTATAGAGCAAACACATCCAAAAAGGAAAAAAGAAATTTAGAGATCTGATTATTTCAAAGTTGTTAGTAATGACAACAACAACAAAATCAGTGCTCTCTATACATATCTTAACAAACCCTTAAAACCTGTACATGGGTTAGGTCAATGTAAGATATCCCCAAAACGATCCACAGATATTTGGAAAGTAAACAGAAGATCTTCCATTCATATTTTACTTAAGAATTTAAGAAAAATTAAGTTTCACTGCCTTACAACTAAAACAAAGAATTGACATTGATGGACTGTCACTTGACAAATGGCGTTATTGTCTTGTCTTCTGAGCTAATCAAAAGGAATGCTGGCAATTCTCTATTAAAGGTGGTCTTGACAGGCCCTCACTCATTCTGTCATTTTGACATATCCTGACATACTCAATAAAGTAAATAGATATTATCTGGCTTAACACAAACCAATAAAATGAACAAGTGGTAGCTTAAAAACATTTTCATAAAATAGCAGGTGCAAGTGGAAATCAAATGACAAGCAAAGGTTTTAAAAATGCAGACACTTTAGTTTCTCTATCAGCCATACTAGTTGTTATTTTGTACAGTCGAATCAGAACAGACTCATAGCTGACCTTTAATCGGATTTTCATTGGCACCAGAAGTAACTGTCCATCTTTCTTTTACAGAGCAGTTGGTAGATGCAAACCTTGTGCCTTAGGGCTGAAAGTGCAAATCTTTACCACTAAGCCACCAGAGCTCAATCAACTATATTAAGAGGTAATTTCAACAGCTCTAAGCCAAAAAAAATTTTTAAAAACCATTATGAAATATTAACTTACATATATTATCTTTGTCATGAAGAGCCCTGCTGGTGCTGTAGATAAGCATCAAGTTGCTAACAAAAACAAACATGTTGACGGTTCAAACAGCAGCTGCTCTGAGAGAACTATCAGTGTATGCCTTTAAGGATTGATAGCTTTACAAGAGTCCTTTAGGGCAGTGCTGCTCTGTCCTACAGTGTCGTTATGAGTGAAAACCCATGAGACAGCACTGGGTTTGGTTTTGAGGATCCATATCCTATGTATTGTTTGTGCCTAGAAGCATTGGCTGAGGAGCGCTAAAAAAACACCTCACCAAACCCAAAAAGCAAAAACACTATCACAATCAACAAACCTTTATTAAGTATTCTATTAAAAATCATATGGTATTTAATCTAACCCTTTTTCACGCAAACCTCTTTGGAGGTTTTTTTCCCTTAATAGTGAAAACAAAATCATTCACATTTTCCTTCTAATATGATAAAAACTGTATTTTGGGGTCAGGAAATACTGATTGAGTTCATACAGAAAACGGTGCTGAAGTTAAGCCGCAAGCAAGCAAGCAAGCATTAGAACCACTTATACAATATATGAGGTTTCTAGTGTGCCTGGGCATATGTGATTCCAAGTCATAGAATTACTTTTCTGTGAGGCAAAAAGATGTATTTAAGAGTAATAAACTTCTAATATGGAAAACCAAAGTAAAAACATTCTAACTAACATTAAAATGGGATTTTTTTTAAAAATCAGCATCACAACCCAATTGCAAAATGGGCACAGGATTATGAACAGACACTTCATCAAAGACATTCAGATGGCGAACACACATGAAGAAGTTTTCAAAATCCCTAGCTCTAAGAGAGATGCAAATCAAAACAACTATGAGATATCATCTCACCCCAGTAATAATAGTAAAGTTTAACAGAGCAGCAAACAACAAATGCTGGCCAGGTTGCAGAGAAACTAGAACTCTTATTTACTGTTGGTGGAAGTATAAAATGGTGCAACCACTGTGGAAGGTGGTATGGCACTTGCTCAAAAAGCTGCAAATAAAAATACCATTTCACCCAGCAATTCCACTACTGGGAATATACCCTAAAGAAACCAGAACTGCCACCCAATTAGATATATGCACACCTATGTTTAATGCTGCTTTGTTCACAATAGCAAAGAGTTGGAAACAGCCCAAGTGTCCATCAACAAATGAATGGATAGAGAAGCTGTCGTATATTCACACAGTGGAATACTATGCTGCCTTGAAAAACAAGGAACTCATGAAATATTAAATGGGTGACCCTGGAGAACATTATGCTGAGTGAATATCTCAGTCACAAAAGGACAAATACTGCAGAGTGGTACTACTGTAAAATGGGACTGACACTGGGTTTAGGGGAATCTAAGAAAAGTGAGGATAAATAATGTATACTGCATTGAAACAGATGAGGGAGAGACCTGTTTGAAAGAATTTTTTTTCAAAGAGAAAAGCGAATGGGGGGAGGGATTGGAAGGGAGGAAAATGTGCAATAACGAATGAATGAAAAAAAATGGGAAGATTATGCTGTAAAAAATTAAAAATAGGTTAAAAAAAGTATCACATACAGAATTAAGTCACTGCAACATTCATAGGTGAGGTATTATAACAAAGAATCTAGAGCTAGAAACAAGTCAATATAGGATGCCATCAAGTGTGTATAAAAAAAATATTAACAGACTTAAGAACTTTGAGTAGAGAAGTGACAATGCAGTTGTTAGAAAAAGAAATATGGTAATATTTTTTTAACTTTTAAAAAATTACTGATATAACAACAGTCCAGAGTAAGCGCTGCATAGTAAAGTGAACTGGAATAGGGATGGGAAATTGTACAACAATGAAAGCTTTTTTTTTGTCAAAGAGAAAAGCAAACTGGGGTGGGGCAGGGAGGAAAATGTGCAACAATGAATGAATAGAAATCCAAGTTCCCCATAAAATTTCATTAAAATCTCAAAAAAGAAAAAAAAAATTAAATTACTGCTATACAAGGGTGCTCTGGTGGCCAGTGCCAAGAAGATTCACTGCAATTTCAGAGGTACACGGTTTGAATCTACCAGATGCTCTGCTGGAGAAGGAGGAGCAATATCCTCCTATACTTGTCAGATCCTATTTGACAGTACACACACACAACAAATTACTGACATACAGTAGAAGAAAATTTGCTAGTAAGCCACAAAATTCCATGAGTTAATGAATGAGATTGAAAAATAGAAATTTAAGTTCAATTAATGATGCTCTACTTCCATTTGGATTTAAGTCTTTGTAAGGCAAAAATCAAGAACTGGGAAGAGAGAGAAGAAAAAAATAACAACTCTACAAACAGAACTAATTTTATTTTCCAAGTTAATACAAGATTTTGAGAAAAATGTATTCAGCAACATATTCAACTGCATTGTTCTCACTTCAAAACTATAATGTATTTTTAGTGAAAACAAAAAATACACATTGTATATCAATACAATACTATCTGTATTTAAAAAAATTTTAAAAAATAGTATCTGTATTTATAAATAAATGCTGAAAACTGTTTTACTATTTTTTTGATCTGTAAAAAAAAAGTCTGGAGAATAATATATTCTCTAATATACAAAGAAAATAAAATCCAACCAGCAAAGCACTTTTTGACAGAAAGCTCCTTGTATGCTAATTTAGCTGCTTATCATTCCCTAAATGGTCTGCTAACTTACGGCTCTGCACAAGCAACTCCCTCTAACTAAAATCATCTCTGTCTGACCTCAGCTACTCTCAAAGTACTTGTGACACTTCCTCTGAGAAAGGTTCTCCCTCCTTAGGACACAGTTCTGACACATACACGGTCACCGTTGGTGAGAATCAGCTGTTGGAGGATGGGTAACTGCTTTCTCTTACACCCCACTCTATGTCAAATTCATACATTTAATGAAACCCTGTATCAGACTACAATTAGAGACAGTTATGCCTGCCTGTTTCATTTATCTGCAAGCCCGTAAAATACCTTTATCTATACACTTATGTACATAGTGTACAGTTCAAAAAGTTGCTGAAAAAATAACCCAGTGGCCTATGCAGAGGGGATGTGTGCAGTAATGAGAAACTCTTTTCCATATATCAAATCTATCATCAGTGCAGACCATCTTACAAAAAAAAATTAATAAAGTATTTTAGAAAGTAGCTAAAGTATTTAGATCACCTTAATTTTTTAGAGGAAAGTTAGCAATGCTTTTTAAGAGCTGACATGTAGAAACTATCTTCAGTAACTATTTTCTGCTCATACACAAACATGTGTGGAGCCATCGCACAGGAAGTCTGATTACTATACAGATCCTGTCGGCAGGAACCACTGTTTTGATGTGAGTGACCGTCTATGGTTGCACTGTACAACTAACAATGCAATCAATACCGAGAACAGTCACTTAGGTCTTTAAGTAAAGTTCTATGTCCAAGAACTATACAGTAAATGAAATGCAAGCTATTTCAACCTCAAATTATTCTGCTTACTATCCCATAGGTACATTTTATATGTACTGTAAAGGCAAAATAAATGGAGCTCTAGTGAGCAATGATGTCAGTGTGGAGACTAAGGTGCACCTGATACAAGCCATGATCTTTGCAATCACTTGCTATGCATCAGAGAGCTGGACAATAACTAGGGATGATATAAGGAGAATCAATGCCTTTGAGCTGTGGTATTGGAGTACTGAATATACCATGGACTGCTAAGAGAATGAACAGATTCACCCTGGAGAGGCTTAAACCAAGTTGTTCCTTGGAGGCAAGGATTCTGAAGCTTCGAGTGACATACTATGGTCATGCTGCAAGAAGGGACCAGACAATGGAAAGGGAAAGTAGAGGGACAGTGCAGCAGAGGAAGACCCTTGATAAGATGCACTGATTCAATGAGTGGGGTAATGAGGGTGGGTGTGTCAGAGACAATAAGACTGGCACAGTGCAGAGCAGGTTATAGGGCTGTTGTAAATAGGGTCAATATGAGTTGCAGGTGACTTGATCACACATAACAACAGTGCCCTAGTGGAAAGAACAGCACTGCCAATGCAAAGGTATGCAGACTGAATCCAGAAACAGCACCATGGGAGAAAGATGAGCAATCTCCTTCCAATTTACTGCCTCTGAAAACTCACTACAGGGTATGACCTGATAGTAAAAAAGATAACAGCGTAAAGACAAAAAAAAAAAAACCAAACACCATCAGTCCTAAAAAGCTATGTTCTAAGGCTTAACATATTTTTATATCTCTAAAGGTATGGCAGCAAGATCTTTAATAAAGAAATCCTATATATTTTAGCTGTGCGAAAGCATTTTAACTCAGTCCTAGGCTGTCATACTTTAATTATATGCCTAAAATCTAGTCCTGTAATATTGCCTATCTCAATCTAATGCATTTCTAAAAGCAGAATTATAGATGACCTAAACTTGTATTCTCACCATTATTGTTGACAAAATCTTCATGTACAATAGGGAGGTCAAGTCGAATTCGTTTCAAACAGGTCTGAAAAATTTTAAAACAGTATTGTGGTACTTTTGTGAGTAATATTGAAGAGAGTTTGTTCAGTTATTCATTTCTGAGTTTCAAGAGATTTATAATCAAACAGCTTATTAATCTTATTTCTTCCTAAAGATTCCAAAATGAAAACCTCAAACAGCTATTTAGCAGCCTTCAAGAAAAAAAAAACAAAACACCCAACCCACCAAAAATTTCTCTTAAGCATCTTTACTGACTATTCCTAGTTGTCTAAAGTATTGTATTGCATAGTTGTCTAAAGTTTCCATAATAAAATCAAGTATTTATTTATATTTATTACACTTAAAAATTTAATAACTCAAAGCACTACTGTTTCTAAACTTCAATCAAATCTACCCTTGTACTATTTAGCATTGTGAAGGATACTCGTAACTCAACACTTACCTGAACTTCCTTTTTATTTCCCAGGTATTCAACTCTGTCAACAAAATCCTCAAATTGCAGTTTAGGGAATAGCCTATGTGCCCAGTGCTCCATGTGTCTGATTAGCTTCTTCAAGTCTTCAGCCTGGCACATAAAAATAAAAATGCTAAACAGAAGATTCTTTCCCACAACTGACCCTGTCAGCAGATTTTAGAATTGGTAAAGTACTGCCAAAGTCACTGGAGTTATCTCATATTCACAAGGTTGAAAAACTTCTAAAAGGAATTTTATGAAGAAAAATATCTGTATGAAGATTAGTCTTTAAAAAAAGAACACTAGACATAGGGTGTTTTTTTTTTCCTTTTAAAAGTTAAGTGGGGAAGGGGGGCAGGGAGAAAAGTACAACAATGAATGAATGGAAATCTAAAGTCTCTGTAAATTTTCATTAAAATTAAAATAATAATAATAGATAAAAAGAAATGGAGAAAAATCCAGAGGAAATTTAGTAAAGAGTTAAAAGACACATGTGTCTTCAGAAAAGTAAAATAAAACCTAAAAATTAATTTTTAAATATTCCCATATATCTTTTAGGAATAAGTAAACATGACAGGTCCCTAAATCACATAAAGAAAAAAGCATTAAGAATTCCAGCACTCTGCAAGAATCAATGAATGGAAACAATGAATGAATGAAAACCATAAGTCTCTCTAAACTTCCATTAAAATTAATTAAAAAAAAATAAATAAAAATTCAGCAGTCAGTAAAAATCTCAAGGGCAAAGTACCAAAGACTAGCAAAGAGTTTCACCATTTCTAGACCACTTTACCCCTCTGTATTTTAAATTTCAATTAGCATTACAATTTTATTAAATAAAATTAAAATCAGTGTTTAAACGTGACAAAAAGGAAAAATTATAGTTCAATTTCTGACTTCACTGTATTATATTTATCTACTTATTGGGATCTTGAAATGAGAGAGCTGTTGAAAGAGGGCAGGTGCTGCCACTGAGGGTGGATGGTTCCTAGAAATTAAGACCCTGAGGTAATCTCTAAACCTTCAGCTGAATCTATCCACTGAAGTTATCTTTAAACCAAACAATAGTTTAAGTTAATCAGTAAAGAACTGTTTACTTTTTTCTTGTTGTGTACCACAGAATCAGATCCAACTGGCACAGGAAAAGACTGTTCCTCCTTCTCCTGGCCACAGCTGAGCATCTAGTGGATTCAAACCACATACTTTCTGGAGTACAGAGCAGCTTCTTGCCACTAGGCCACCAAAGCTCCCTAAGAATTGTTTAAGGTTTGAGCTTTTTTAAAAAAAAATTCTTTTGTGTGTGTACCGTCAAATAGGATCTGACTGGTACAGGGGACTGTCTGTCCTTCTCCAGTGAAGCATCTGGTGGATTTGAACCACATACCTCTGGGATTGCAGTGCAGCTTCCTGCCTCTAGGCCACCAAAACTTCCTGCATTGAGCTTTTTTAAAAAATTACTTCTATTTGGTCAAACTGATATTTAGCAACTGGAAAGAATGAGAAGATAAGGAAGCATTAAGTTTATAATGGTGGTGAAAAATTTAAGAATGTTACTGACTGTACATGCCCAAACTAGTGAGTTAGTGTATGTTTTGCCATGTACATTTTCACAAGGGGGGAAAAATAAGTAAACATTTGTGAGGGGCCCTCGTGCCCTTATCAGTCAGGCATTTGTTTGTTAACTGACAGGCTGGCAGTTCGAATACATCAACAAGTTTCTGGGAAGAAAAGAACTGGTGATTTGCGGGTATATTTTATTATTTTCATGTGCTGTTGAGTCACTTGTGACTCATAGGGACCCTATATACAACAGCTCTGAACCCTGTGCCAACCTTATTGTCTCTGACACACCTACCCCTATTACCCCAGTCATTAAGTCAATCCATCTCTCATCAAAGGTCTTCCTCTCTTGTGCAGTCCCTCCACTCTCAAAAGAACTGGTTCCTCCTTCCAACATGTCCAAAGCATGTCAGATGAAGCTTTAGAATCCTCTTTAGGACAAACCTATTTGTTCTCCTAGCAGTCCATGGTATATTCAGTACTCTTCTCCAGCACCAAAGCTCAAAGGCATCAATTCTCCTCATTCCTAATCACTGTCCAGCTTTCTGATGCATAGCAAGTAATTGCGAAGACCACAGCCTGGATCAGTTGCACCTTAGTCTGTAAGTCTAGAAAACCCTATGAGGCAATTCTATTCTGTCAGATGGGGTTGCTATCAGTAAAAAAAAAAAAAAAAGGAAACGTACTCAGCAGCATTTAATATTCTAATACTTAGCATTGTTATTTTACTTTGTCTAGAAGCCAACAGTCAAGCCAACCAACTCTCTCAAGTCACTGCTGTTCAATCAAACCACTCACAGCTGACCCTCCATTGGGTTTCCAAGGCTGGAAGCAGCTGGGAGATTGCCCATCTTTCTCACTAGGAGTCAAATGGAAGTGGCAGAAGTGTAGACTCTCCTTTATTTACACAAGTCACTATGGGCTATACCTTCAGGGCTCCCCAATCAGCTCGATCCACCACCCCTGAAGCAGTCTTTTCAGTCTCCCCCTTTTTTTTTGGTTATGTGCCATTGAACTGGATACAACTGGCACAGGAAGAGCATCTGGTAGATTCAAACAGCACACCTTAGGGATTGCAGCGCAGCTTCTTGCCACTAGGCCACCAGAGCTCCCTTCAGTCTCCCTTTCTAATAAAGGTACAAGTTCTTTAAAAAAAAAAAATTTAATCACTTAAGATAAATTTCCAATTATTATAGGCAACTGGTCAGCTAACCAACCAACTCTTATACTAGATCCAAAGGAAATAGTAAGTGGAACTAAGTATAATAGGGAATCTTTAGTTATAAACAGAGGAAAAAAGTAGTGAAAATTCAACATTATGAGAAAATAGAATTTTCAAGGGCAAATTTAAAAGATGGGGGGGGGGGGGTTAACTAAATGTTTCCAGAGTGATCCTATTCACTGTGACACTATTACCCAATTAACTAGTAGAGATGTCCCATAGGGTTTCCAAGGCTCTTCTTGCATGGGGAGTACCTGGGCAGTTCCAACCATTAACCTTATTATCTTCTTACTCAACAAATCTGGTTCAATGGTTAATGATTTTCCAGCCTTTCAGATTTTAAATCTTGGGATTACTTTTGATTCCTGTTTTATAATCACCTTCAAGCCCTCTATGTTGTACATCTCTCTACTACTACTACAACCTCAACCAAACTATTATCATATCATCCCAGAACAAGGAGCAGCCTTCCCATTAAGGTCTGGCTCCAGTCTCTTCTTTCTTCCAAATTATCCTGCATAGCATATCTAATTGCTACTGCAGGTTTAACATTGTTCTGTACGGGCTTATTGAACAGTAAGTCTTGGCTCCAGATACTCAGAACTCTAAAATTCCATTTCTTTAGCTACATAATACCTTACCCTATGGGTTGAAAATTAAAAGAGAATACATTTTAAAATACTTCATAATTTGCAAAGATCAAAAAAGATAATGTAAAAACAAATACAGCTATGTGTTTATATGCTTCAAAGATTGAGAAACATTTGAAATATAAATTTTTACAGGAACTGACAGTTCTTAATTATCTTCATTTTTCAACACAGCATCACTAATGCACAAAATGAACCAACCAAGAGGAGCCCAAGTTTGGCTAACAGAAAAAGTGACAGGTGAAAAACACCAGCCACTTCAGGGAGACAGGCAGACACTCAGCTTCTACAAAAATTAATTCACAACTGGAAGAAGGGTAGAGAGAGCATGTGGGGAGATTAGGGGAGCTCTTTATCTGCAGCCCCATTTTTGCTCTAAGGCAACTAAGGATCCAGGGAATAGGAACCTCACTGAGGCTGCAATGACCACACGCCAGTGGCTAGAGGGTGAGCAGGCTCTCGGGGCAGGCTGATCCATGGGCAGCAGGGGGCCCTCATGAGCTTGGCATCCCAGTCCGAAATATCAAGGTTTTGGGCCAGGTTTGGTATCTCCTAGTTCTGAGCCAGATGCATTCCAACTATGTTTTCACAAGTAAATCCAAGCAGGAACTGGATCATAATGTCAGTGGGGAGGGTAGGGAAGTGACAAGAAACACCACAGCTGCCCTAAAATAAACCTTTAAAGTAGGCAAGCTTCAATCCTCTAAATTCAGAGATTCAAGTGTGATTTTCCTAAAATCATAGGTGTACACTGGCAAAAATAAGACTAGAAGACAAATTATCTGATTTATCAAACAAGTGTCCATTCTACTACATCACTGTGTCTATGAGATATGGTAATAAATGATATTGTGTGTTAGGTATCACTGAGTTGACAATGACTTACAGTGGACTTATGAACAACAGGTCCTGAACTATCAGTCAAAAATTGCGAGATTTCTAAGAGTATGGTAATGGAGTCCATAGTTTGATATTTTAAAAAACAAAAATCGTAAATAAAAATCAGATATTTCTTACCTCATGACCTTTACCTTTGAACTTTACATTATCAAAAACATGCCTTAAGGTTGGAAGCCCTCTCTCTGAAATTAATCTGTGAACAGAAATATGGTTTGAAGTTCAGGTTTTCAAGATCCATCTAGTAACAAACCCAGATCATAAGAAGGAAAAAAAAAGTCTTAGTATAAATACCTGATGCCCAAATCATGTCAAACAAAAGCTTATAAAATAAGAAAACAAACAGTAAATGTAAAGGAAGAGTTATCTCTACAAGGCAATAGTAACTGTACCTCTGAGCATCCAGCTTGGGTAAGTTCCTTTTAACTGTTCTCTTTGGAGGCACAGGAACAGGTATTCTTCTCTCTGACTCTGTGAAAAACATCAAGATTTAATACTATTTAAATCATTTTAGCCTAGGGAGCTCTGGTGGCGAGAAGCTGCACTAAAATCCCAAAGCAGGTGCTCTGCTGAAGAAGGGGCAATCTCCTCCTGCCAGTCAGATCTGACTCAATAATACACAACAACAAACAAACAATTTTAGCCTCATTTATAAAACACATCCTTTCTAAGTTAGGTAGACAACAAAACAGACACTTGTCTTAAATTCCCTGTACAAACCTTCATCAAGTTCAGCTTCTTCACCATCTCCTCTCTCTGGAGAACCTGGAGGTGGGAAAGGAGGGAAGGTTTCATCTTCCACACGCTCATAATCTGGGAGTTCAAGTACATCATTCTCTTGAGGTTCCAGCATGCTTTCCTCTGGAGAAAAAAAAAACAACCCAAAATATCCTTCATTCATCCAGTCTTCCTTCCACCATCAAGTCCCAAGTGCAGTAAAATACAAGTTCCACTTAATTAAACTAAATTTCAGACTCACCCATCAAGAAAAGATATTATGGGAGAAAAAAAAAAAATAACTGGACCGTTGAAACTCAGAACTGAATTCCCTCAGTAAATGGGAGTCTGAGGGTATGGTCCAAAGACAGTAAGGCTGGAGTTTGTCCTGGTGGTTCACATGCAAGAAAATGGGGTATCGCCTCTCTTGAGATTTAGTCTTAGCACCAAACTTAGAAATTAGTTCATTCAGACTCATCACCAATAAGTGAGAAATCAATAATCAACTACATGATTTTTACAACTGTTCAGTTTCACCTACCATAAAAATAGTGATTTTTTACTCTTCAGAGGGTTTCAAATTAGAATTCATATGGGTGTGAAATAGGCAAAGCTCCAGGTGCCTGGGTGGTGCAAATTTTATATATAATTGTGATTTTAACTAAAGTCGACAGTAAAGTTGGGCTTTTTTCCATTCATTCATTGATGCACCATTTTCCTCCCTACCCACCCAGTTCACTTTAAAAAATAAATTCATTCATTGTTGCATAATTTCTTCCTCCACCCACTACCCCTTCTCCAGTCCACTCCCCCCAATCCACTTTGCTCTGCATCTCTTATTCTGGACTGTTATACAAATAATGCCTAATCATATATTCCTTTTAAACAGTTCTTTCCTTCATCTGTTCAATGCAGTGTTCACTATTTATCCCCTCTTTTTGTTTCCCCCCAAGCCCCATGTCAGTCCTGTTCTGTAACAGTGGCATTATGCAATACTTGTCCTTTTGTGACTGAGATATTTCACTCAGCAGAATGTCCTCCAGGGTCACCTGTATTGTGTAATTCCTTGTTTTTCAGTGCTGTGCAATATTCCACCATTTGAATGCACAATTTTTCTATCCATTCGTTTGTTGATGGGCTGTTGGGTTGCCTCCATTTCTTTGCTATTGTGAATAATGCAGTAATAAGCATGGGTGTGCAGCTCTGCTTTCTTTAGGGTATATTCCTACTAGTGATATTGCTGGGTCAGAGGTTATTTCTATTTCCAACTTCTTGAGAAAGCACCTACTGCCTTCCATAGTAGTTGGATACACTCTATTATTAACAAAAGCTGCCCTGGATGTGCCACGTCTGCCAGGAATTTGGAAGACAGCTACCTGGCAACTAGCTGAAGAGATTCATATTTGTTTCCATTCTCAAGAAAGGTGATTTAATAATAGATTGTGGAAATTCTCAAACAATATCATTAATAGCAAGCAAAATATTGATCATCAAAAAAACTGAGAAAACAACCTTAAGTCTTTTCAATCACTTGTTATGTATATGAAAACTGGGCAATGAATAGGGATGATTGAATTGTGGCACAAAGAGCACTTGGACAGCCAAAACAACAAACAGATCTCTTGGACAAACCGCAGCCAGAATGTTCCTTGGAAGCAAGAATGAAGCTTCTTCTCACATACGTTAGGCATGTTACTAGGTTTTTCCTTGGAGAGGGACATTATGCTTGGAAAGGTCAGAAAGAGAAAAAGATCCTCAATGAGATGGACTGACACGTGACTGTAGCAATGGGTTCAACTATGTCACAAATTATAAGGATGGCACAGTCAACTTGCCATGTTGCTGAGATCTGGACAGAGAAAAAAAGAATTGATGTCTCTGAACTATGGTATTGAAGAGTATTGAATATCCCATGTACTGCCAAAAAAACATGACAGACTTGTCTTGGAGAAGGTGCAGTCAGCGTGTTTCTTGGAGGCAAAGACGATAAAATTCTTGCACATACTTTGGACATGTTGCTAGGAAAGGATACGCACTGGTGAGCAACATCCCTGGGACAGTGGAGGGATGGTGAAAGAGAGGAATATTCTGCAGCAATGGCCTACAGTGCCAGAAAGACTGGTAACGATGGCACAAGACAGGACAGAGTTCTGGTCTGTTGTACACAGGTTCAACAGCACCTAACAACAACCACTCTTAAGACTATATCCTAAGCCCTCTTCACTCATCTGTGCATATGCTATTAATGAAGACTTATCTATAGGTGATTTTTCTCTCCAGCTTAGCTCTCCACATCGCTACTTCCTAACTGAAATCCCTTCAATAAAGATCACTACTTTACTATAATAGAAAATGGAACTTTTTTCTCAACTCAGTAAATGGCACCTATCAAAATAGGAAAATCATTCTTAATGTCTTTTTCTCCCTATCTCAGTTACTATCCATCTTCCCAAATATCCTTTAAACTAATCCATTTCTCTCCATATCTACTGCCATTTATCATTTCTTGCTTTGATTTCTACTCCTTCAATGTAATGAAGGAATTGTTTTTGTACAATCTTTCCTCTAGATTATCGTTAGAAGACTAGAAATGATAATCACATTACTACATGGCCTACATATTTCATGACTCTCTTACCATTATGAAGATAAAATCGCTAAATGCTACATGGTCTGGCTTTTTACTGTCTCTCTCAACTCATTTCTCACCACTCTATTTTTGGGCTCAAGCCACATTGGGCTTGAGTTTATTGAACTCCTTTCAGTTTATTGAAATACCTATCATGCTAATCGATCTTTGCAAATGTTTTCTTAAATGTTTTTCCCTGACTTATATCTTTCAGATCTAAATGGCAGCTCAGAAAATTCTGCTCCAATTTTCCTACATTAAATCCTCCTAAATACACACTTATTTTATAGCCCTTATCCAATTTCAATATTAGATCTTATTTTTGAGATTACTTGATCAATTTTCTCTCAGGTACTGTGACCTTAAGAGGTAAAAGGGAAGTGGGTCTGTCTGTGCTCAACATTGTAACCACAACACTGGTACACAGTGGGGATTCAATAACTCTTTGTAAAATGAAGAAAAAAACTTCCAAAGTGTCCCCAAAATTGTAAAACCACTGGAGCTAAACAATTTCTAAGGTCTCTTCCACTCTGGATTGCTATGAAAATACATTAAAACAAAATGTCAATTTCTTTTGACTACTCACTTGATCTTCAAGTAAGGTACAAGAATTATCTGTCGTTTAAAAAATAAGGGTAGTTATGAGTGAAATATGTAAAGTAGCTTTTAATGCACAGGAAGCATATTTAGCCCTCTGAGGAGTGCAATACAGATTTTTGAGGGTGAGACTCTTTCAAGGAAAGAATAAAAACTGTATTAAGTGTTGTTGTCCTTGGGACCCTAATGTAAGACACTGACCCAGCATCGGATGTTGCTGTTGTCAGTAAACTGATTACTCTTTCAGTATTCTGAAAAATAAGGCACCTGTATTTTTTACTTCACTTTTTCCTATTATTTATTATTTTTAGTTTACATAGCCTATTAGTTTTCAATCAAATATTTTTAAAAAATATTCACTACAATAGATTAATGCAACTAATTTATCTTATGTCTAGTCAAACTTTTTTTTTTAACTGCTTTTCCTTTCAACCACATTTTTCACTTCTTGACAAAAGTCACATACTATCTCACTTCGGACTTTGATATGAGTTTTTTTAATTTCCTCAAGAGAGTCCTGATTGTTCAATAATAGTTAAGGGCTCGCCGCTAACCCTAAGGAGAGAATGGCCAGGCGGTTTGCTCGCAGAAACACTTCGGCTGTTGGAGCTGACCCTGCAGCGGGTTTTCCGAGGCTGGAAATCGCATGGAGTAGACTGCCTGGCCTTCTCCGGCGGAGCAGCTGGTGGATTTGAACTGCCTGCCTTTGGGTTGGCAGGGCAACTCCTTACCAGCACTGCACTCCAGAAAAGCACCAATTGACTTACCCCGTTATAATGGGGTCTTTTTGCATCAAAATCGCCTGATGGCACACATCAGCCAGTCCTCAAACCCCATAGGAGTTACAGCACCTAAACAGCTCATCCTCTAAAACGTCGTTTCTGCTTTTCCAACTTTTTCCAGGATGTCAAACCAGAACTCCCTCTGTCTCAAGGAAGTTTTAGCAGGTTGCGGCAACGTCTCCCTTTGAGGCCACCCTTACTCTTCTTCAATAAGGCCCTTCCCTCTTCTGCTCCCGTATCCAATCTTATTCATTCAGCACTGACAGGCTGCTTCCTACGTTTACAAGATCCCGTGCAACACTGGGAGCGTTACGACAAATGGTAAATACGTACCCTCCCTCTTAAACGAAGGCTTCAGTTAAAAGTAGACTCGAAACATAAAATTATTTCCAAAAAAAATAAAAACAAAACTACTTCCCACCCACGTCCCAGTTCGCCTCTACTTCCCACCCGTACAGGCCAGTCAGGTTTCTCCTTCTCGCTTAAGGCCGCGTCCACCTCGGTTCTGCCTCCCAGCTCCTCAGCTATTTCCTGAAACTCTTCCGCTCGTTTACGGTTTCCTGGCTCCCCGGGCTGCCTCTCCCCGTGTAAAGCTCTCAGGACACCATCACCTCATGGGCTCTCACCTCATGCAAACTTCAGGGAGCTCCGGCCCAGCACAGGGATCGCGCGGGAGCCGCACCTCTCGCGAGACCCTAGCGCTTCTCGTCGCGAGAATTCGGGGCGTTTGGCGCCAAAGCTGCGACCACCTGGGGCCGCCCGGGTCCCGCCTCCCACTCTCAACCGGACTGTGGATCTCGCTTAGTGCTACTTGCCCCGCAAATCCACCGCTTTCGCCTGCCTGTGTACTCCCCACTGGAATGAGAGCTCTTTTATTTAATAAAATGCCAAGTCATTATCTTTTAAGTACATTGCTGTGCGTCTAGTCGATTCTGACTCGCTGTTGTTATGTGCCGTCGAGTCGTTTGCGACTCAGAGACCCTATAAACAAGAGATATGAACTGCCGCCTGTTCTGTGCCATCCTTATCATCTGGCACACTTGAGCCTTTTGCTGTAATCACTGTGTCAATTCATCTAGCTGGGGTTGGTTCTTCCTATACTTCCTTTCCAATTGGGTTGTACTTTTTTTTT